AAAGAAAGTGGAAGGCATCTGTAAGGAAAAGGAAGAGACCTGCTGTGGAGAGACAGAACAAAGCAGAAACCTTAGAGAGGATATCTGCCTCCAGGCCTCATCTTTGTTATTTTGAAACGGGTCATGTAAGCTAATCTCATCTTCCCCTTTCCTGAAAGGGTAACTGCCAACAGTCCAGGTGAAGGAAGCAAGAAGGCATTTAACATTTACCTGTTCTCCAGGTGTAAAGGAGCAACCTTATCATCGCTGGACATCCATAACCCATGTAGCTGCATTTACTTAGCTACACACAAGTTGATGGCCCCTGTACACAGCAAGCCTGAAGTAAATCAGCTTCAGAAACAGACTGTATGAACAACGATCAAGGCCAAAAGAACAACTAGCCATAGATATCCAGAGAGAAAGCAAGAGAACAGTTATGTGATAACTAAAGGAAGAGAACACACCACCAAGTGATTCTGCAATTAGAGGGTTTGGGTATAAATCACCCAACTAGTTTAACTAAGGACAAGATAACTTCTAAGAAACAGGAGATCTCCAGAAGTGGGACTGAACTAATAGTACCAGACACACTGTTTTTCTGCTCTGCACATCACTGTGTCTCAAATGTTGTAACCTTAGACCACTTCCTACTTCCTTTAAAATTTACACAGATAAAAGCAGCACATATGGGAAATGTGGTAACTGCAGTTGATAAACATATCCAGCTAAGATGTGGGACCCGAAACATGCATGCCACTAAGCACGATATCTGTAAACCGAAGCAAAACTGTTGAGATTGATGGAAGCTGCAGTGTTAAACTCATGACATCAAGTAATAGGATAGCTTATTCCACTGTGGGTTTTGCATCACCTGTTCTTAGCACACACTGCCTCCTTCCAAGAGGCAATACATCTTGAGAAGAGAAAACAACATGCTGAAGTAGAACTATTTTGAAGACCAGTTGGTTCTATGTTGGCAGCCAAGTCACTAGCATACACTTAGTGGGGCTCTGCGTTGCCACTTTCCCCTCTAATAGCATCAGGGCAGAGTTCACTGTTCCTCTCAACAAGCAGAGATGTACAAGAGGATCCAGGATCTTCCAAAATGAGGCTTAAAATACTCAAACCCATGACAAGGGCCTGTCCAAACAGAGGTAATAAAAATCATTCTGTTTTGACTCTTTATGATGCTTTCTAAACTATATTCTACCTCCAGCAGTATCAAATTTGTTAAAACTCTAGTCTGTCCTGTTCAAAGTGCATATACCATAACTACAGGTACTTTAAGACCAGTACATAGCCAGGAGGTGTGCTCTTACATCAGGGAAGTGCTGATCATGGCGATTAGCAGAGCAGCCTGCTGATGTACCCAGAAAGCCCTTGTGTGCTGCACAGCATTATTAGCTTACAGCTTCCCATAAAAGCATATTGCAAATATCTAAATGACATTCATTTAAGGGTTTCCTTTGTTCCAGGAGATCAGATACTTCCAGCAGCCGGTGATCCTTCATGGAATAGGATGCTCAATCCTCTGGCAGAGAAAAAAGAACAAATAACTTCTTTCACCAACCTGTGTACATCCACTGAAAGAACTCTCACATAAACATCACTAGGACAACAGCACTCACCACGCTGAGTTGATCAATGTATGCGAGTTCCTTGGGAAAGCTAGAAACAGAGGCTTTCCTACTTACTTCAAAAGGCAGGAATGGAGCTGTGACACACCAGAACATTGCCAGCAATCTTAAATTTTTAACTGCAGGAAGATTCTTGTAATAATGCTTTTCACTCCTAAAATGTGCCTTATACCAGTTCCATTTTTCAAAAAGCTATTTAGTAATCAAATCTTAAATGGGATTTTTCTGTATATTGGAATTTGTTATCATTCTTCATAGGGAGATTATTTTCTAGCCTAACCAGAACAGGGTATGCGGCTTATAATGCTGCAAGATTGATGTACTGACATCACTAACTTATGGAGAACATTTCCAAATTCATTTTTAATATAAAACATAGAAAAGTTCAGACCAACATTAAATGTTTTATTCTCCCTTCCATGTTCTGCAAAATAGGATACAGAGATGTTGTCATTAGCTGAACATGCATCAGCATTTATTTTGGAAAATTAAATGAAACCCCCAGAGTCTGGGTGTCCCTTGCAGCCCTTTCACTGCAGCACAGTGACTCAATAGTCTCCTTGCACTTCTGTCCATAACTTTTTTAGGACAGCAGAAATACCAAGCAACCACATTCCTAAAGATTAGCACAGACACTAGAAAAGTTCCTGTGATCTGCTCCCTCTTGTGGGGATTACAGAGGAGAGACAACCAGCTCTTGAACCCTAAACAATCAGCACAGGGCCCAGATACAGCTATTTTTCAGTACAATAATGTCAGCGGTACATGGCAACTGCACTAAAGTGCTTAGCATGCAGTCTTTTAAACAGGAAACACTAAAATAGGGTTTATTAATAATATTTAGAATTATTAATTCTGAATTATTTTATCTATTAATAAATAATTCAGAAATTAAGATTGGGCTGGTGCTGTGCTTAAAAAGAAATCAGCCCATGAATGCCTGTAGCTGGGCATCATTTTGAACCAAGATTGTGATTTCCTTGCACTGTGGCTCACCCAGGTTTTAAGAGCCTTTAACAGTTTTTCCCACTCTCCCCAGTATCTGACAAGTTGCCTTCCCTGAATTCAACAGGCCCAGGCCCAAGCAAGGCCTCTGCTGCAGGCCTTGGAAATCACCAACAGCTCAGAGGACAGCTCACCAGCCATACTGTGCACCTGTGGGCTACGAACTCATGCTATAGCCAAGCTAAACTCACAGCTAGTTCTCATCACAAGTGATCCCCCCAACAAGTACTGGTGCTCACTTGATCTAACAATGATATAATCGAACCAACAGAAAAAATGATCTCTTTTTTTCCCTTCCAGTTAAGCTCTCCAGTCCAGTGACTGTAAAGTGCTGGTGTGAGAGAAAAGGGGCCCACAGCCATGGGAGAAGCAGGACAGTACCTTTCTCTGACAGCTAGCTGTCAGAAAAGCTTAGCTGCCTTGTAAGACCGTGTCTTCACTGCACTAGCTCACCCTTGGATTACTCATTACTACTGAATATCTTGGCATCTAGGGCATAGTTTGCCAATTCACATAGAAATTACAGTAACTGAGAAAAGTTAAGCTTTAGTGTTTCAATTTAAGGAATGGATTATTATTGCACTTGTAAGAGACATTCGGGAGGCGCTGATAAACCATGGAAGTAGCTGTAACATTTTACCACAGGGCTTTTATGTTGCAGAAATTTAAGCCTCGTTATTCTTGAGCACTAGTACAGGCAATGGAGAAATCCAGGGTACACTGAGAATGCACAGAGCTCCCAGAACAGACACTGTCCAGCTCGACTACCTCCGCCTCCATCAAGCGGAGCCTCAACATAATTTCAGTCCAAATGTTCCAAATATTTTTTTAATCTAGTATGAACTAACACTTTCCATAAGACAAGTGTTAATTTGTAATATATACCAAAGGTTATCACTTAGTAAATCACTCCTACACTGGTGCGATACTGACTTCTAGCAGTATACACATACAGAAAGAGCATGACTGAGCTACTAGGCAGCTATCCGAAGGCAGAATTATCAAAGGGGCTAGTTACTTGGAAAGCATAAAAGACGTTTTATCATCTGATGGGTAAGTGTAGGCAAACACTTTGAATTCTTGCACCACACAATTTCAACAGTCAGAGCTGTAAAACCAGGCAGAATCAGGTTTTCCAGAGAACCTGTTAAATATGATAAGATGTTGCCTCTTATTTTCAATTAGATGAATCACAATGACAGTGAATATCTTTCTAAAAGCATCACCAGCAGATCAACTACTTATGCTCAACATGTTTCTACTCTTACATATAAGAGATTAGAAAATTCTATTTAATAGAGAAATCTGTAAGAACCTTCACTGAAATAGATGTAAAGAGAATTACCAGATAGCATCAACTGGCTTGCTCTCGTTTCACCCCTTTTACTCCTTTTATCCAGGCACAGCACCCGAGTGCTCGCAAACATCTTCCAGTTTGGGTTTTCAGGTACCGGTCGGGGCTTAGATTTTCGCTTTTCTGTCCCCATCACCTCGCCCCCATTTCCCACACCACTTTAAGCCCCATTTGCCAGCCCGGACAGCTTGCAGGAAGACAAGAGCCGCTCGGACTCTGCTCTCCTTCCACTCCCAGGAGGAAGCCCGGTTCCCAAGGAGAACTTGTCTGCTTCGCTGTACACAGGCTGAGGAGCAGTCGCAAGGCTCGCATGAGGACGGGGGGCCGACACTCTCACAGGGACCCAGCCGCCGGGTCCGCGCCGGCCACTCCCTCTCCGGCGGGAAGCCGGGCCCCAGCTTTCCCTCGGGGCGACGCGACCGAGGGAGCCCGCAGGCCCGCCGGAAGAGCAGGCCCCAAGGTGGCGACCCCGCTCCGGGACGCCGCCATTCCGGCTGCTCTACCGCGGCCCAGCTGAGCCCACAGGCCGGCGGCCTGCCCTGCCCTCCCCTTCCCTTCCCTCACTCCCACCCCAGCCAGCCCCAGCGCCCGAGGAAGCGGCCCAGCACACAAAGGGCGCCCGGCCAGAGAAGGAAAGGCAGGCAGGCAGGCAGGCACGCACCTGGTCCGCGAAATCCTCGGCGGTGCTCATGATGTCGTTCTGGCCCATGGCGGCGGGGGTGCGACGGCTCGGCGCGCCTGGGCCCGGCTCTCGGAGACGGCAGCGGGCGGAGCGTGGCGGGGCAGCGCCGGGCCGCACACCGATCACTGCGCTGCCACGTAGGCCAGCCCTTAAAGGCGCCGCGCGGGGGGCAGCGCCGGCGCACGCGGGGAGGGGCGTGGCCCGGGGAGGGTGGGGCGGCCCCGCCCCTCCGCCCGCGCCTTAAAGGGGCAGCCCGGGGGGGGGGGGCGGTGCTGGCGTTTTGTCCGCCCTGGCAGTTGTGTGGGGGGAAGCGGGCGGCGGGCGCGGCGCGGCCCGGCCAGGCCAGCCGCGGGGGCCCCGCCACACCAGCAGCCTGCCCTGCCTCCCCCTGTTCCGCCATGGAGAAGTACGAGGTGCTGCCTGCAGGACCAGGCCTCGTCCGTCAGGGAGGGGGTGGTTGCAGCCTTACTGGGGATGGTAGGGGGCACTGTGGCCTAGGGGCAGGCGTGTGGGTACGCTGGGCTGATCTCCCTGCAGAGGGGGAGGAGAAGCCTGTGTGCCTCCCGAGGATGGGGTGGGCATGCGGGAGCCTGTCACCCTGCTGTGGTGATGCGTGGAGGGTGCCTGCAGGGAAAGTGGCTTGAAAGGACTTTTTGCGTTGTTGTTCTACTGCTTGCAAGTGACCAAGTGCACGAGTGTTTCCTGTGCCCCGCAGGTGCTGGAGCAGCTCCAGCCTGGGGCCCTGGGCACGATGCTGGTAGCTGAATTGAAAACGGAAAAGGGTGTGGAGAAGAAATACATAATAAAGCAGGTGAGAAGGTCGTCGCTAAGAAAACAAGAGTCCATTGGCACATTTGTTAATCTCTGTGACCCCTTTGATAGTAACAGACACACAGGTTGCTTGGCCCCTGGGTAAGAGTAGGCTTACATCTTATTGTGCTGCTGTTTTAGAAATTGGCTGATTCAGATCAGATTACTAGAATATTGAGGTTAAAAGTGGGAAATGGGAGCAGCCTATTTAGGTCCATCTGACGTGTTTTCACATTAGCTTGCTGCTACTATGGCAGTACAAGAAAGGACTAGGTAAAACTGTTGTGGACTCATTTGAAACTGTTTCTGGCCAGCTCCCAGGGAGACTGTCCTAAACATTAGGGACTGGAGCTGTCACTGAAAATTTATGCCAATTCATGCAAAACTTGCAGTTCTAGTATTCTTGACAAGATTGCTCAGGCTTAAAATGTGCCTGTCTCTATTATAATCTCATCCTTGTCTTTTGTTTGTTGCAGGTGCAGTGCATTAAAGAAAAGCAAGCAAATGAGGCCTTGAAGGAGGTATCAGTGCAATTTTTCTTCAGTACTTTATTGGGAAGACCAAAGTCTTTAACAGACCAATGTCTTTTATCTGTAAGGATTAACTAAGTAAATAGTCAAGATGTAAATCAGGTAGGACTACCTGAGGGATGTTCTCCCTGCTCTCTGCTTGGGTTTAGGTCAGTATTTTGTATTAATTCTCTTCTGTTTGAATATGTAGATTCAAATGGACAGCTGTTCTTAGAGGTTAGTCCTTTTTCAGCATTTGTATTTGTTTTGTGCTGAAGACAAAGAGCAAAGCTCGTTGTTTTGGCCTTTAAGTTTAAGGAGAATCTTCTGTTTATAGTTTTACTAATAACTCAATTTCTAGTTAATATGCTTCATGATGTGTTCTTTTCTGAGACCTGGACATTTTTTGATGTGAATGATTTAACTTCTTTTGTTATACTTTTTTTTTTAAAAAACTTGTTTCAATGCCTTGAGTAAGAAGCAACACTAGAAATACTATTATTGAAATTAATTTTGGCATTTTAAATCATGTGCAGTAGCAGATGATGGATTAGTCTCACAATGTCCAGCATGCATGATGTCTGCAGTTATAAATGAGTGAGAATACACATCTGTACAGATGCTTCATCCTGCTCAAGAGGTGATCTCTTTATGTACCAAGGCATTATTGAGATTTTGGTCCAATTTTTCTGCTCATGTATGTGTATATCGACATAAATGCAGTTATGCCAGCTGGGAGCATGGCTCTTAGAGTTCTTCTGTTGTGTCTGCACAGCTACAAACACAACTATAGGAGAATAAGGTGAATTCTTACCTTTCACATCATCAGCAAACTTGCTGAAGTAATTGGTAATTGTTAGAGTCCTTACAGTGAAAACAGCTTCAAGGAGATAGATAAGCATCTCACCAGTGTCAATCTTGCATAGGGGTTACTGGAAATAATGGTTATGCTAGAAAAAGAATCTTGACTTTCATATTCTAAGATGTGTTTTCAGGCTTAGGAATTGAAGAAGAGGGAGTGGTTCACATATCATCTCTCTAAGGATCAATTTATATCCTTGAATCTCACAAGGCTGTTGCAGCATTATATTGAGTAGAATCTCAATTAAATATTTTCCTTAACTTGGCACTGGCAGATGCAGATAGATAAGAGAGCTTGCACACTGAAAGAATTTGAGCAGGCACATGACACAAACAAGTCGGGAACTGGCTTAGGATATTGTTTAAGGTTCCTGTTAATGGGAAGGACTGTAGCTATTGAAAGGTTTCTCTGCAATTTTTATTCTGTGCAGGCAATGAATTTGCTAAACCTTCATCACTCAAACATCTGTACTTACAAGGAATCGTTTGTGACGTGGGATAATAAGGTGAGAATGAAGGATTGGTTACACTGGAACACAGGGTTAACATTGTAGGCGTGTCAGCATTTTTGCAGGTTTAAATCTAGGGTTGTTGGTGTGAGATGCTAAAAAAAAAAAAAAGAGAGGTTATTTGATCTGAAAGGAGCCTGCTTTAACTCCTGAGTAGACATGCTGAAAAGCTGTGCAGATACGCGGACTGGAGTCGCTCGCATGTGGTACTGCACCTGACTCAGTTTCTGATATGAACCAGTGTGCAGTACTGATTTTGTGCCTGCATGAAGACCCTTTTAGAGGGGACTATGGGAAGCTGAAAGCCCTGACTCATTTACTTGCAGAATTTATTGAGTGCTCAGGCAAACTTTGTATTGATTTTATGGATGTGTATTTGACTTGAATTGTCCCACATGGCTTTGGATAAGATGCTTGATGATTTTTATTTTTTTTGGTATTAAAAAGCTAATAAACAAAAAACCAAAACACCCCCAAAATCCCCCAAAACAACACACATGGTATATTTTTAATAAAAGAGTAAATATTGTCTCCTCTGCAAGAGATTACTCATCTTGGAACACCCCGTGGTATTGGTGAGCAGCACACCCACCAGTTTGGCCAAGTGCTTGGTTTTATCTTTCTTACTGGATATAGGATTCCATACAAACAATTGGACAAAATTGGTGTGGTGTTTTTTACAGGTGTCATGTCTGTTCCTTTATCTGGTAATGCAGCACTCAGGCCAAAGAGATCTTTCATCTGTCATCAAGGAAAAAAGGCAGAAGTTGGAAAAAATAACAGACATGGTAAAAAGTACAGAAAAAGCATCTGGTTGAACTGATAGAGTTCAACTGCTTTTATATTTCTCCCTTGCTATTCCCTCTTTCTCAAAGTCCTCCCTAAAACCTTCAAAGCACAGTGTTTTGCTGAAGGGTGCTTCAGAAGCTGTCTTCCAAAAGGTCCCTGTAAGTTATTCTATTTGTTATGCTTTAATGTATATTCCCCTCAATAGGTGATTCTGAAGTTCCTGGGACAGATGGTGGATGCTTTGTTTTATATACACAAACAAAATATTTTCCACAGGTGAGTAGAAATCTTGTTCTCTGTGTCTGACAGGTCACTGCTCTTTGCAGTGACGGTTCAGCACAGCTGCTCAGAGGCAGTGTTTTTTACTATTCCAAATGGGGGAGTAGGAGCTAGAAATTCTGGTCTTCATATCCAGATGTGTAAAGATACAGGGAACATGTAGTTGTGTATCATTAGACTCCAGTTTCACAGACTGACAGAAAATCTTTGTGTTGCAGAAATCTCAAGCCGTCAAACATACTTGTGACTGGTGAAGCATCCTTCATGCTTAGCGACTTCAGTACAGAAACACTTATGACAGATGAGATGAAATGGAAAATAAGAGTGGAAGAAAGTAGTTATTTGTTTTACTCTTTTTTTTTACTTTAAAAGATTTGGTTAGCATGGATATTCTTTAGCCCTCAGAAAAATCAGCCAAAGAAGAACTAGCTTTCCCTCCTCCTTTTCTACATTACACTATTTGTCTTCTGAAGTGTGAATAGAATACTCCTAGGCAGTTGCCTGCAGTTCCCTGCTCATAACTGAAAGCTATAGGTATGTCTGAGTCTCAGGCCTCTGCAACACAGGGTTTGAATCCGTTTTAGCTTGATATATATGCAGTAACATCTTAGAAAATTGCTCAGTAGTTACAGTGTGTTTTAGTCTCTTGTGATGTCTCACCAGTAAAAAGTGTCTAATCTCTGCAGAATATACCTTAATTATTTTTTTGACATAAAATAATTGCCTGCAGTTCATACATGTGCAAACAGAAACTATATATAGTACAGTGTTAGCAACATTACTGCATAACTTGTGTTTCAACAGATAGCAAGTCTTGGATGGCTCCAGAAACATTCGATTTTATTTTTACTGAGAAATCTGACATCTGGTCTCTAGGTTGTATTCTACTTGACATGATGACCTGCTTTATTCTGAATGTATGTAATAATGCTTCATTATAGATTAAAATATGGGCCTACTAGGATGTCTGTAAGCAAGTGTGTGAAAGCTCTTCTGATACCACACTTTTCACAGGGAGAAGAGATAACTTCATTACTGCAGGATATTAGACAGGATACAAGCCATCTTGAGGGGGTTCAGACAGGAATGCAGAATGGAGATAACAGCTCTTTGACTTTATTTCCAGTTTTATTTATGATGCTACAGATTCAGCCCAGCATGAGAGCCACAGCAGAGTGAGTTCTGGATTCTTGCCTTTCATTTTTTTGGCTGGTTTTTTTTTTGGTCCTAAGCCTCACCTACCTTCACAAAGATGAAAATGTTAGCTGCTCTTTGAAAGAACTCGAGTCAAGGGTGCTGGTCATACTGCCATGGCAAATTGAGTTATTAGAAAAGTCAGTGGCTTGGTGATTGTTCAGAAGTGGGCATTCTGATAGAGTTACTTCATAAAATCATGTTGTACACAGTTTTACAAGGCATTAACTTGAAGCCTAAGCATGGCTTGCTTAGTGTAAATGCTTTCTTTAGCTGTTTTGTAGTAAATTGTTTAAGTTCTATCAAAAATAATCTAGTCTTGAGAAGAAATACTAGGTTTTTATATCAAAATGAAACAAAGCCTACAGATTTTCTTTGTAACTTACCATTTCTAACTTATTGGTTCTGCTTTTGTCTCTTGTAATTCTAGAGATCTGACTGATGTTCCGTTTATCAGGGACTACCTGACTGCTGCTGGTGCACCTTCAGTAAAACTGAAAGCGTCTTTGCCTCCCAAAATAGTAGATGTGCTCCTTGAGGGAGGAATTGAAAATGTCCTAGGTAATAAGGAAAATGAAATTGGTAGCGATTTTCATAGGAATTAAACCTGTGTGTTTTCTAGTCAGCATGTGTTTTATTTGAAAATTAATTATTGGGCATTAATTTTACTTGAAATAAAGTGGGATGCTATTTGGAGGAAGGATTTTACACAGCCTTTATATAACCTTGTAAGATTACCAGCCACACCTACTGCACCAGTAAATGGGGTCAGACCATTCCTTAGAAAACTGATGAGGCCCACTTACTTTGTCTACATTCTAACAATGTTTGCCAAATTATGCCAACAAAGGATCTGCTCCATTAATTCCTTCTAAATAAGGAAGTTATTTTCTTAATCCGAAGAGGCTATCGGAATAATGCATTTAGATCCCCTATTCCTGCTCTGATTTAATATTCTAATAGGTCCCCAAAGTATATAATGCCAAATTCACAGATTATGCAGGTGGATCATAACATTTTGTAGTGTTTAAGTGTTTGATTTAGGGGAAAAGCTTTTCTTTTTTTCAACAATAACAAATTACATTTTTTTCATTAATATGAATTCACATCTTACACAAAATAGAGAAAATCTGGGTGCTTTCTCTAAGTGTTTGTATCTAATGGTTAAAGGAATTTTCTTGGTTTATTTAGAAATCATGCAGGCTTTCTGGCATATAGAATTAGTACAAGTGAAAGCCATTCAGCACCTCACCAGCTTCATAAGAGATAAAAGTGGTAAGTCACTATTTTATTAATGAACTTGTTTTGTAACTGCTTTTATTGCACAGGAGAAGTTCTTCACCTTATGAGACAAATAGGCACTGAAAAAAACCTTAGTGATATTTTAATTGGCAACTCATTGAATTGGCAAACTGACATTTAAGGAAGAGAATTCATATCAGTGCTGGGCAACTTGAGGATAATGCCTAGGGCTAAGAGTGATAGAGCAAAAGAAAGCTATGCATGTCTAATTCCTGTATGTTTAATAAAGCAGTGTGAGTGAAGACTATACTTTCTTCTGGCATCTGTACATTTTTCAGATTACTCTTTCAGGTCAAGGTTAGTGTTTTCAAAGCACCACGTTACCTCTGTTATTTTATGTGCTGTCATTTGATAGCATTTCAGTGCTAGCATTAGCTTATCAGGCTTAAACACAGAGGTGTTCATATCTAATTGATAAGGAAAAAGTGATTTACTTTTCTTAGTTACCCATGTCTTCAATTCTGTTACTGAAGAAAGCTTTACTCAGTAGATCAGCAGGGTTTGGTTATAAATAATCAAACAAATGGATCTTTGTGATTCTCATTCAATTCTATTGACAATAATACAAGGCTGTGCACACATCTGATTGGCTTGTTTGTCACTTCTGCTCTGTGACTTACCATGACTGCTCACATCTTTGAAGATGCTCAAAATGTAGTCCATTCAACATTAGTCAATTCAACATGTAGTCAATTCAACATTTCATCATGCATTTGTGGATACAGTGAATAGTTGTATTAGCTATTCCAAAAGTTCAGTGTCTTCCTAGAACTAGGAGACCTAGTGAAATACTTTTAGCCACAGATCCTGGAAAGCATGGGTTTGGGCTCATGCACGGTGTTCTACCCCACAGCTTGCTACGTGACCAGTTAACCATGCCAATCTGACTTACCAGCAACATGCTGGCTGCACTTAATTTACATAGCCTTGCAGCTGCCTCTATTGAAGAGACATTTCCCACGGAGACTACAAAATTCACTCTGCATTGTTCCACCTGTACTAGCATTTTGTTCTCTCTGATTTAAAATATTCTTCTGCTGTATTACATTGCCTTTATGTAAAAAAAGGGACTTAAATTTACTTGAAACTGGAACTCTTGTGTTTTGGAGTATAGATATCCACTCAGTGTTTGAAGCTCTGAAACTGAACGTTGTCTCAACTCTTCCCCCCAGCCTCTCCCTATCTGCTAATGGTCACAGAATTGATCACTTTTGCCATGAAGACTCATGTAGATTCTCTCAAGTTACAAGTAGACGGTTGCAGTTTATTGCTTGAAATTCTTAATCCAGGTACAGTTATGAGACTTCCAATTTATGCTGAGTAATACAGCCTTATCTTATAAGTTAGATGTAGCATATAAGGTTTTAAATGGGTTCAGTAATGCTTTTAAGGGATAAATGAAAAGTAATAGAGAAGTTAGCTGTAAGATCATGGATTCTCATGGACTTGATTCAGGACTGGCATACATGATTTCTGTGTTAATGTTAATTTTAAATACAGGTTACTAATCTTAGGCTACCAAGTTTCATGTTACGTAGAGTGTTACTAGAGTGTGTAAATAAGAGACTCTCAGTGTCCTGGTATTTGAATTTCAAGCCATAAAACTCTGGTTTGGTCTCTCGTGTGGTCCCTGCTGTCACTTGCTTGGCAATTTACCTGAATAACACCTGCTAATGATATAAGCTTGAAAACAGTAAGAATTGTGTTTCAGAAAAAGAAAAATTTAAATTAACTTTGGGATATGTTATGTTAAGAAATGCTGTTAACTGAATGTTTTACTTGCACTGACAGCAGGGGGCTCAGGCTTTGTTCTGTTCAAATGTTTACTTCTGACAGCTCTAGAACTGGATATGATGATGGTCCTGGATGAGAATTCGATCAGCTCTCTATTAGACACAGTGAGAAAACACTCTGACAGTGAAGAGTTACTTTCATTGTTCTGCACGTTACTGATGACGCTTTCAGCCAGCGGTGGGTGACCTGGTTCATTTTTGGGGAATATTCTTGTGTTTCTGCTTTTGTAATCTAAGATATAATACAGAACTTGTGACTTCACTGGGAGATGTGGATGTCTGTAGGTATTGGTTTGATAGTGGTAATATCGGTAAGATAACACTCTAGAAAGTGTAAAATACACTGCTGAGGCTTCAGGTACTTACAGGACCACTCTAATACATGCAGTTCTGTATTTCATCTTGTTTTGAAAACAAGTAGAGACTGTGCATATAGTAGTGCTTGGGAGAATGGGGCCATAGAACCTGGATTCTATTTTTGACTGTGCCATGGTGAATTGAAATCCTTCTACCTAATTGTTCCTTGTTTTTCTCCTGAGATTTTAGTTGTTAAATACTTGCAGTATTTTTTACCTGTCTTGAGTGTCCGTTCAACAGTCATCAGAAGACTGCTTTTCTAAATGCTTACAGAAGAATTTAGCAGCAAGAAGTTAATCTTATTAAAAAAAAAAACAAAATGTAAAAAGTGTCATGTACAAGTAAACTTATCTAAGACCAAACTACTTCTAGAGTGTCCCCTAATTCTAAAGCTGAGGTAATTTGAATTACTAAATTGCAAACACTTGAAAAATAGCAATTTATACCCTCTGAGTCCTTTTCTGCTCTGTAAATTTCAGATCTGCAAGGAAAAAAATGGCCAAACATCTGTTTGAAAGGGTCACTTGTGCTGAGCACTGTGCTTAAGTGCATCTTGTTAAAGACCTTTGGTCTGTTCTCTTGCTTTTGTCTGGTTGATGGTATCATGTTGCTGGTTTGTTATCGCTGTTTAAATACGGTGAGTGCTCTCTGTTGTGAGGACAGTGAGTGGGACAAAAATAACCAGATTCTATAGAATTTATTTTCTTGTGGTTTTTTTCCTTTTTTTTTTTTTTTTTTCTTTCCAGAAGTCATTGCAGAGAATCTGTGGGAACTTGGAGTAATTCCAGACCTTCTGTCAATTTTAAGAAATTTTATTCATAATGAAAATATCTGCCTCCCTTGCTGTGGGGTGCTCTGGAGCTTGGCTGTGAGTGGTGAGTAGAACACAGCAAGTGTTGTGCCTAGACTGACGAAAGGCAGCAGGTATTGTACCTGAATTCAGACATTCCTGTTGCTGGGACTGGATTTTACTCCTTTCTCCCATTCTAGAGAGATGTCTCCTCAGCAGTACTAGAATAACTTGAAGCGATCCAGAGTTAAATGAGAGAAAATTAAATACTAATTCAGACTTTTTAGCAAGCTTTTTTGTGATAAGGTGTCAAAGGCAAATTTTTACTGTTTGGGCCAAGATACAGCTTATGAACAGGCTGTCAGAAATGAAAGGGTACACACAGTTTTGCTCTGTGCAGTGCAAACATCATATCAGATTAGCTATCAGAATAGCATTTGGAATGAATAACATATTATTGCTTTGTGTCACACTTATCTTGGCAGCACTGAGCTACATCTTGAGCTGGACATCTCCTAGAGACTTGCTTTACCAAAAGAAATGTGCTTAGCAAGGTGGCAAGTGTATTCTTCCCATTGCCTCAGAACTAAACTAGCATCACCCCACAGAGTTGAAGAGCCACAAGTCATAGCTTGAACTGACCCCTTCTTATGAGAGCACACTGGGAGTTTTTTAGGGGATTTATTTCTGTGGCATGTTTTTTTATAGGTGTGTGGTGTTCTACTCATCCAGGAAGGCTGAAAGCACAGGATTCCCTCAGTGCAGCAAACCACCCATTTGATTTATGTGACTAGCCAAATATCCATCCTGCAGACCATATTCTGTCAGAAAGATGGCTATTTTTTAAGATTTCTTGCTGTGATCCCCATGTAGAACTTCAATGGCAAAGAAAACTAGTTGCTGGAGAAGTTCAACTTTCTGCAATAAACATTACTATTTATTAGTCCTCTAAAATTTGATTTTTTTTTAATACATCTTTATATGCCTTCCCTCTGCTGTTGTCCATCCTAAGATAATATCTCATTGCTCCAATACCATCATGCATTAAGATTTTACTCATGTAGTTTGACATAAAATGTGTGTATGAGATTAGTTGATTAAATAATGCTGATGCTTTTCCTTTTTGTTCTGGTAATTCAGAGACTAACATAGACCGTGCATTCCTGGCAAGAGCTGTCCCTGTTGTCTTTGAGGTCCTTCAAGAGCACATCCAGAACGGAGCCATTGCAGAGTCTGCTTGCTCGGCTCTATGGGCACTGTCACTCCAAGGTGTGTTTTCCCTGTCTCCTTGTCCCTAGAAAAGGCTGGTGTACCAAACATGCCTTCTCAGTGGTGATCTTTGAAATACAGGCTGCTTGATCTCAGCAGGCTCTGCAGGTGGCAGCAGAGTTAGGAACTTGCATCCTCTCTTAACCAGTCTTCCCTGGGCTCACTCTTTAACACCCCCCGATGAAGGTATTATTGATGAGCTGTAGCAATTGTATAACTGATGCTGCTGATGGTTACTGTAGTGATAGGCAGCTACAACAACCCGTGTTGTGCAGAGAGCATTCTGGCCTATCTCTTAAGACCAAGGATCCCATTTGTGTTATGCCTTTGATGACAGCATTAGTGTGCAGCATGGGCTGGGAGGCTTCTTTTTATGCCATTTGCTTTGTAAATTTGGAATAATGTTTTGGATTAAAAAAAGATAAAATACATCTTTCATGATCATGTGCACTAAGGAATGCATCCTTCAGTACTACTGTCTTATTTCTTCCTCATGCAGAATATTGCCATATGTTTACCTACTGCCCTGTGCTTATGCCATTTTTCCATGAGGAAGAGCCAAGTAAAACACCCTAAGTGATCTTGTTTCTCATATCGACCAGCAGAACAGGTTGACTGTTCAGGACTCTTCATTCCTTTTGGCTTGGATAATGAAATGGAATCTTGACATAGATGATGTATCATAAGTTTCTCCTACACCCCTGGATCAACTCATGGAGTGACCACATTTGGCCTTTTTTTACTGCAATACAGGCTTTCACATGCTTTCTTCGTAACTTTTATTGCATATTAAAAAAATCACTTCTGCTTCCTGTTTCTGAAGTTGAAATACTGATCAGTGTAAAGGCTTTTGAGCCCATTGAAGTTTTGGGGGGTTGTGTGTTTGTCTTTGTTCCTCAGGTTGCTTAACTGAAAATGAGTATGAGCCCACAACAGCACTTCTGCTGGATGCGCTCAGGATGAACCCAGGAAGACCAGTGCTGGTGAAGAATGCCTGCCTGGCACTAGCAAGCCTTCTAAGGTTATCTGGTAGTGTTCAGCAATTCTTTTATTAATTGCACATTAGCTCAAAGTGGATGTTTCAATATAGATCGAGAGTTCATGGTGGGATTGGGACTGACAGCTGCTCTCCTGAGTTAACCTTTTCTTGCAGGGCTGGAAGAGGAAATAGTGAAACTGGAGGTGGGAATTTGTTTTCTTCCCATGGACCCAGCATGCGTGTATGAGAAGTATTGGATCAGCACAAGCTGGTCTGTTAGTAACTTGAGAGTGTTTTGTTACTTATGATGAAATTGCTTCAACTGTATAAAAGGGTAAAACTGAATCAATATGAAAATGGTAAACGCTAAAATACCGCTTTGCCATTGCATGATGGTGTCAGCTGCCTACGTGGTCTGCTAGCTGTTCCCAAATACGCTTCAGAATAGCTTTTAGGAAGTCTGAAAATAAAGGGCATGACTTTCTGGAAAAATATCACACATGTGCTAGCTGGAACAGGGGGACTGGAAAGCAGGCAATGCAGCCTGCAGCTACCGAGTAGCCTAGCAGTGTTTGTTTCCCTTTCAGAAACAGCAGCTTTGAGACTTGTAATGGATTCAAAAGGCAGTGGAATAAACCTGATCAAAGATGCCTACTGCCTTCACTTTGATGATCCAGAAGCAGTGGAAAATATCTGTATACTGATTAATGAGATGATTCAGTATGGTGAGATGGGGTGGTGTTTGTCGTGTCTCTTCCTGTCCCCTGCCCCCAAAAGGTAGTAAAAAACCTGGAGCAGCATCTGCTGAGGGACATCTTTGTTGCTCACGGGAAAGACTTGCTCTGTATCTAAGAGAGAGGATTAATTCCAACTGGAAGTTCATCCCCCTTGTTCTTGAATAATAAATGCCACTCTGCTGTGATGTTGCAACTTCTCTCACCTTCTGTGTGTACATCTGTCCTCTCTCTGCTGTTCTTTAGTTCCTACTGGAACTATTGGCAGTTGTGCTAGCAACCGTAAATGACCCTGTTCATCTACATTACAGAGGATATTGTGCTGGATATGCTGTCCCAGAAAATGGAAGAACTACTGTTTGAAATAAAATGCCAGTTTCCATCTAGCACGGTATGTAGAAGTCATGGAGATACAGTGGATACTTAGTATGTTATTTCTGGTTATGGATTTTATAGTTCTCAAGTAGCTGGAATTACATAGTGCAGAATTTTAGAGTTAGGTGTAATAGGGTGAAGGGTGCGTTTGTATGAATATATGTAACCACTGAAAACAAGTAGTTGGAGGTTTTCTTTATGCTATACTGCATTGACTTAGTACATTCTTCATACTAAATCGGGAAAGTTTACAGGAATAAAGCGTAAGTATGTTACAGCCAATTGCTTGTTTTGCAAGTAGCATCCTTAAAAACAAACCAACCCCCAAATACCTTGTGACCATTTACCTGAAGATTTAACTTACTTTTTTCAGTATGACTATTTGAAATTTAGTGTAACTGTTGAAACTACATGTTGTGGTTTAACCACAGCCCATAACTAAGTACCACACAGCTGCTGCCCCCTGGATGGGATGGGAGATGCTGTGGTATGGAATACCCTTTGGCTAGTTCAGGTCAGGTGTCCTGTCTCCGCTTCCTCCTGGCTTCTTGTGCCCTTCCTCACCGGCAGAGCATGAGACTGAAAAGTCCCTGATCAGGGTAAATGCTACTGAGCAACAACTAAACTATTGGTGTGTTGCCAGCATCATTCTCAGATTAGCACAGCACTGCACCAGATACTAGGAGGAACATTATCTCAGCTGAAAGTGGAACACACCAGCAACAGCACAGTTATTCAAGCTATTTAACGTTACACTAACACTTCCCTTGCTATGGCTTGCTGTCAGGAAAGCAGTAATTGGAAGTTTGTTCATCGAGCCAGTAAAACTGGCTAGCCCTTTAACTTTGCTCTTTTTGGTTATGCATTTTGCCTGCTTACATAATTTGCCAGTTACACACAAACTGGTTCTCTACTGTCTCCTGCAGGCATTGTCTGCACCACTTTAATGAACACTGCAGCTGTTAGCGTAGGGGGGGGAAAAATCAGAAGCAAGCAGGCTCCCTCTTCTGCTGTAAACCTCACTTGTTGTTCCCCACATCCCCTGGTGATAGCAAAGACATACAAGGCCAGAACACTCTTGTTCTGGCAGTACAGTGTGTGAGATGCAACTGCTAAATCTCTGAAGCCCATTCCTTGTTACCTTCCAGTATCCATTTAGATAATTTAAATCACAGCATTAGTCTTCACTCTGCTAATTACAGTTGCTTTGGATTTTGTAGAGTTGGACCCCACATGTTTAAAACAGCAGCCACTTTAAAGACGTGTGTTAGACACTGTTTTTATTAATGAGTATAAAAATAAGGGAAGCAACAAGGTAATCTTAGACAACTCTCATTCCTCTCCAGGAGATAATAACCCTTGCGGATGCAACACTTTTGAGACTGCAGAAGTGAAAGAAATTTTTGCATAAGAACAAGACTTGTACTTCTTCAGTGAGACAAAAGCTCCACAGAGATTTTTAGAGATTTTTCTCACCAGAAGGATTAATAAAAAGCTATTAAAAATACATAAACAATTATAGATCTTGTTGATTTTAGGTACCACAGCTATGAGACTAGCAGCAATAATTAAGAATTCACCCTACTTTGTCGACTCTGAGGTATTTTAAATAAAGACTTTCATCTTGGGAATTTCAGCAAAGCAATGACAGTTTCTTCTTTCATCTGTTGTAATTTAAAATACTTCAACTTATTCAGAAATTTAACTCATGAAGTACTTCACAAATGCAGGTATTGGTTACAGCTATTGTTGAAACACAGTGTTAGGCATCAGAAAGGGAGTGCCAGCAGTAGTCTCGGGTGGCAGCGTTAACATACCAGGTCAGGAAGTACTGTCTCTTGATTATTTTTTTTTGAAGTTGCTGCTGTCAGTTCCAAGTTATTTCTAAATTTGCCCAGGAAAGTAACACGAAAACAGCAAATGCTGTAGATAAAAACACAGGGGTAGAATCATTCAAGTTTTACAGTTTTTGTTGTTAGACTTGTTCTTAACAGCAGCTTCCCATTTCTTTTTCTCTAAGGTGTACAGTCTCATTGCTGCTTGTGCATCCTGAACCTAAAAAGTAACAGAACAAACAGGAGGCTTAATAAAACATAGCTGATATGGGTTAAGAACATTATTATTAATAAGCAGCTAACTCATCATTTTAATGGTGAGTCTATTCTTCTCTTATGCTCTGCTGCCCACTGAAAGAAAGGAAGTAACAGCTGTGATTCAGTAGTAGGCTCTCGCTATTTTATCCAACCTGTCACAGTACAACTGTGCAGAATTCTGCTTTTAAGGGAAGCAAGTCAATACTTGGGAATTGCTTTTTTCCCCTGGGGATCTTAAAATAACAAGAATTAATGACATTTACACAAAATACGGTTGACTTGTGCAAAGACAGTTTATGAAGATAATAATCCAAGTGGCATGAGGCATGTAATGGTAAACAAGCTAGATGACAGTCCTGCTGCATGCTGGCATCTAAGCAGAGCTTGTTAACTTTGAGAGGCTAGAATGAACCCACAGTATCCTGTACTGAACCCAGATCCTAGAGCTAATGTGTAGTACCTTTTTGATCTACCCAAAAATGTATGTTAAGAGGAGTTACATACCGAGCAGTGCTCTGATGTCTGCACTTGAACATTTAGCAGTTTCTCACAGAGCAGCTTCAGTGATGGCCTCCCATTCTGGAGACAGAAAAGACAGAATCATGTCTTGCACTACTTAAAATCCATATAGAGATGTGTGTGTATGTATATAAAAACACTCATTTGCATAAGCCTCAAGATATGGCACATCTCAGCTTCTACTGGTGACCTGTCAAGAATAATGAATTGAGATTTATGTGTACGCTACTGAGAGGATGTTGTGTATTGCTGTAACCCTCGGATCTATGTTTGGGGTGCTTTGTTGTGAAAAAGGAAACCCTAGTATGTAGCTGTGAAAGCTGAAACATTTCCCCATAACCTGACACTTTACTCCTACAGTTGAAACAGAAACTTGAAGCCTTTTTTTTTAATATCCCTATGGAAATGGTACCATTAAGAAGATGGCATAAGCCTTACCTTAAGTAGAACTTTACCATTTTATTTTGCTATCCAGAAAAGCACTGTAAAGACCATGCAAGTGCTAAAGAATGGGAAAGTCACTGAGTTTTATGCACAGGTATTAATTGTAATGTTTGTAGTGAACCAAAGTTACTTATTGATGTATTGCAAACACTAAGAAAGGATAAAACTAGATTAATATTTCAATTGACAAAAAGCAGGCATCTCTGTTTCAGGTGGGAAAGAAGAAATAGGGTCAGGTAGAGGCAAGTGTAGGGCTGAGCTAGCACTGGAAGACGGCAGCTCATGAGTCAGTTAACTGAGTTGAAGGGCATCTTCCCATCAGTCTCTTACCTTGATTCCGACTCTCTGTCTGAAAGGTTTGTATCTTTGCGTGTCACGTATCTTCTTCTGAGGATGATCAAGAAACAGGACCTAGAAGAAGTTACATTTACAGTCCAAAGTGTGCTGCTGCATGAAACTTTAATAGAGCTGAACGTACAGCTTCGTGCTGCTTCATTCCATCCATGAGAGGGTTCAACACCGTGAATGGACAAGACCCAGATCATCCAGGCCCTGGCTGGATTCAAAGAACCACAGTTCTACTTAGTATGAGAAACAGAAATTAATCTGAAGGCACCACCTGTAGAGACTACCTCTGTAGTGCTGCTGCAGCATGATGTAAGGTACCTGTCTGGTGACACCAACCAGACTGCTAAGTTTTGGGTACTAAGCAGATTTTTCATCATTCTGCTTCTTTCCTGCCTCTTTAGTAGGCAGATAAGTGCTAGCAGCACCATCAAGCAGTTTGAAAGCTGAAGAACCCTAATGGGCAAGTGACTAGGGCTGTAACTGTTGCAGTATGAAATGACAAGAAACTAAGATAGCAATAATAAAGCTGTAGTTTCTAGAAGTTCAGGTTTGTTCATCTGATCCAGAATGCTGTACTAGAAAATTAATCTAAAAATTACTGCAGCCTTTTCCTAAAAATGCAAGATGTGGAGACATGTACTTTTAGATCATTCCGCAAAGCGTGGCCAACTAAAATCCTTCCGTTCAAGATGTCAGCAACTTCCTTCTGAACTGTTTTAAAATCTTCACCTAAAAATACCACAAAAGGAAACACTTTCTATTAGATGCAGAAGACAGATGAGCAAGTTATAAAACTAAAAAGCTGTCTCTTTTCTGTGAAAGCAATTGTATCCTTGGGACTGTAGTTACACAAATTGGCACAGCACACTAAATCCTCTCCTTGTTAGAACAGCACAGAGAATTCCATAAAGAGCATAGCACTAGAAGTAAATAAACTTTCTATTATTCCCATATCGTTATCCACACATACATTTCTGCCAGGGCATTAGTGACCACTCTGTAAAAAGTACTTCTTCCCCCATCTTTTCTTGGCATTCAGGCTACGTTTTGTATTCCATTTCCCAACACAGGATTAAAACTTTTCCAAGCTCAGCCACCAGTGCTTCTGTGACAGCCTGTTAAATTTTCCCTCCTTAACAAACCTTTTCTGGGGAAAATAATACCCTACCTGTATTTATATTCTCTGGGCGGATGCCACTGACAGCAGTTCTGTAATCGGTCACCTTTTCCGTAGGCTTGACATACTTGTCATAAACACACTTTCCAAACTGGTTGACGATGGACACGCGAGCCACGATACTGTCCTCTCCCTTGGGTCCTGCTCCCACCATCTCACAGTCCATGGCCACAGCTTGCGTCAGCCTAAAAGACAAACGGCAGCTCAGTGATGCCTGTGTCACAGGGCCCACAGAGCAGCGTTCGTGAGGCTCCTGTGTGGACAGGAACAGGAAACTCAGCAGTTTGTCAGCTCATGCTGCGCACCCGATAATCACGCTTACGAGAAGATGCTCTCAAAGGCTCTGCTGCTATCCTTCCTGCTGGAATGCCACTCACCCTTCAAAAGCATCTTCCTTAACCAGCACCTGCTTCACGGACTGACTGGATTGACCTGTTTCAAGTCCCAGATTTCTTCGTGCAATTTTTGCTGCTTCACATCCTATTGCTGCTTCGATATCTTTTGGATCGACGTCATCAAACCAGATTTCAGCCCTGGTAAGTACAGATTTAATTGCATTTGGCGGTTTTAAAGCACTCTCATCTTTATAGTGTAGAAAAAGCATGTATTTTAAAATCAAGAAATCGGCTCTGTGACAATTAGTTAAGTACTGTCACCTCTGCAAGTTCCTTGCTATACTTGCAGGGTAGGGAGAAATAAGAGGCATGCTGCCACAAAGCTCAGTTTTTGCGTGCAGCTGGTTTGAGTGTACTCCTCTGCTCCCTATGTACACCTCCCAAGATAAATGTTCACGTAAATGTACAACACCTGAAGTACTCACTCTTTGAGTTGCTGCTCCACATGTTCTTCAGCTTTCCTCCTCTTATGTTTTATATCATCTTTCTCCTTTAAAACATCACCATGTTTTGTTTTATCTTTGGAGTCTTTTTGATTGCTTCTGGTTCCATTCATATTCTTAACCATTGCAACCCCCTTGGATTTTGCCTTAGCCAAAGGAGAACTGTATTTACCAGAACCACTGTCCATTTTATTTGTAGATCTGACCTTTACCACATTCCCGTTCCCATTGGTAACCAGGACTTCTTGGCTGTTTCCTGCTTTGAGTGGTTGTGTCTTTTTGGTGTATGTCTGCCATGTAGTGAGGAACTCGTTGGAGCTATTTGCCTTTTGCCTCAGTAGCTAAAACGACAAAACAAAACAAAATAAACCCCAAAACAAAAGTATTATCTACCCCTGCTTCCGACCCCATCATCGTTCCTGGGGGGCTCACAGAATTCCAGGCTGGAAGGGACCTCAAGGATCACCGGGTGCAACCTTAAATGGCTCCTGGCATTCCGCTTTATGTATTGGCCCCAAGCTCGTGCCTTTATTCATCGCCACGCACGTGGCGGAACCGCGCTCAGGCCCTGGCAGCGTGGCCCAGTCCGCCCCGGGCCTTCCGCATCCCCGCTGCCCCTCACCTCCTGCAGCGCCTTCCAGTTGGAGGAGAACTCCCGGGGGCTGCGGGGGGGACCCGCGGCCGCCGCCGCGTCGGTGCCTTTCGGCGCGTTCGCTTCCCCGCGGCCCCTCCAGCCCTTCCTCCTCCCGCGGGCCGCCTCGGGCTCCCCGGGGCTCCGGTTCGCCATGCGGGGCAGGCGGCGCGGCCCCACGGCGCCACAGCTACCGCTCCCCGCCACTCCGGCGCCGCACCGGCCGGGCCGGGAACGCGGACCCGCGCTTCGGTTCCGGGCTGCGCGGCCTGCGCTGCGCGTGAGCCCGGGGCCTGCAGCCGCGGTGGGCCGGCGCCGCGGAGCGGAGCGGTCGGGCACGGGCACGGCGGCGCAGGGCCCGTGCCCCGCGGGCGCCCCTTGCGCTCGGTCGCGGCGCCGGACGGAGCTCGGGGCTGGCTCCGGCCAACGGGAGGCTGCGGACGTTGCGCAAACCGGCCCGAGCCGCCCTCGCTGCCCCGCGGCGGGACCGTGTTTGCTCGGACCCTGCGCTCTGCCCTCCCGCGCCACGTGATGCCTCGGGCCCGAGATCAACTCCTCCGCCCCGGGCCGCCGCCGTCCGCGGCTCCTGCAGCATGAGCGGGGCCTGGGCGCTGCCGGCGCTCCTGGTGCTCCCCTGGGCGCTCTGCTGGCCCGCGCCGCTGCGAGAGGTGAGTCCGGCCTGCAGAAAACGGCGTTTCCAGGAACGCTTTTGTATTTCTAGGAAAAAACAAAGAGGCGACGTTCTGAGCCAGGAGCCGTCAGACTCGGTAATGGAGCGGCTTCCTCTGCGTGGCTGCTGCGCAGCCCATGCTTAGTGTGAAATAAAGCCACGAGAACTTGGCATCAGTGCCTGTTGAGTCGCTCACTGTGTGCTTTCCAGGTTGGGTTTAGTTAACGACAGTCTTGTATCCGGTTGTTTTTTTTTTATAAACCAGTAAATTGTTGTTCTCACAGAAATTTCTGGGCGCTTTGGATGCAGAAGATGTTTTCTCATATTTTGGAACCAGCTCAGTGTCCAATGGTATGCATCTGTTGGTTCATTTCTAATCCTCTATGTTTGATAACACTAAGAGCACTTATTAAGGAGCTCTGATCTGACAAGCATTTAGCACTTCTGAGCTTTGTTACTCAGGCAGTTCCTGTTTCAGTGTGAAAGCAGCTGAAGAACTGGGTCAGTATTTAAAGTCTGCTGGAGGAGATATGGTAAAACTTTGTGCATGTTTCTGCTGCAGTCTTCATTCTCTCTATTGGTATTTTTCTATGAGATGAACAGATCCAGGTCTTCTGAATGGGAAGACTGAAAATAGCTTTAAATGCACTTGTTTGTTTTAAAAAACCCAACCAACTAGCACATGGAGAAATTAGTATTCTGGCTTTGGATTGATGATAGTTCAGAATAAAGGTACATTTTGAACTCTCAAATGCTTAAAGAAAAGGGGATTGGCTCCTTGTGAGTTCACCCAATGCTCATCTCGCTGTGTCTCTGAACTGTGATAATTCTCACTTACTAATACTTAACATGTGAGGGCATAAAAGCATCTCAGCCTTTGTTAAATGAGCTGCTCTCCTTATCAAGAGAGCAAGAGCGCTGGTAAATCAGGAGCCAGTTCCAGAGCTCTTGTCTGTTCCCAATCAGATTAACTTCACTTTTGAATACATGAAAGCGTAGAAGTTCTTTGGCTATTGACATGATGAGCCCGAAAGGCCATGATTGTCATTTGGGGAGTATTTTTTTCTTAAGGAGATAGATCATTACATTTGTTTTGTATTGTTGTTTCTCATAACCTTTCCCTTTGTTTTGGTCTTGTTTTATTTCTTTCAGTACCTGAGTTTGTTGTTGCTGAGCCAACTTGCCCTTGTAAAGAAGGGCAGATTGGGCTGAAGTCCTGTTGCATTCAGCATTGCTCCATTGAGGCCTGGGGAGAACTCTATTCGTTTGAATTTCTGGAGGACCATACCCTCCTTTCCTCTTCCTTTGTGAGCAATCAGGTGGTGAACTCTTCCTTTAGCTTACTGAAGCGATTCCCAGGCAACTGCTTTGCAGGTGGAAATCTACTGCAGCCCTCTGGAATGAAGTGTAGAGTCACTTACTGTGAAGGGCAGCTGGTGAGTACGCACTGAACTTACTCTTGCAAGCTTTTACAGCCCTTGTAGCTTTGCAGCTTGATGCACCAAACGTGTGAACCATCCATTTAATAAATCTAAGCGTTATGAAGGAGAAACAGGAAGGATATGGCACATGGTTCTCCACTGATAGTAAATGGCTTTGGAATAACTGAGATGGAATTTCATCTCCTTTAGCAAGGAGTTGTCATTGCAGATGAGGAAAAGATTCATATCAGGCCTGTCAGAAGCAAAGATGTGGCCCTGCTGAAGGACCTTGGCTTTTCCAAACCTCACATTGTCTTCAGAAGTGCTGCAAGAGAGGCAAATACAGCAAGAGGTAATGCACATGGAAAGGAAGCCTTGCTTGTTCTGCTTGGAAAAGCTATCTCCTGGTAGTGGGGTTGCTTGCATGAGTTCCGAGGAAAAATTGGTGTCTACAAACAGTATACTTGAATATGCTTCTTACCTCACAGAGGTGTAACTGGTGTGTTTTTATTTAGGTGTTTGTTATTCTGATAGTAGAAGGTTGCTAGCAGGTGAAAGAAATCAACAGAAGTGGGAAACCTGAGCAAGCAACTGGAGGAGTGGTCTCCCAGCTCCCCTATTTCAGTCTTTCAGGAAAAGCGAATGGGTCTGCAGCACCTTTTATGTTGTCTTGCATTTTAAACTCCCTGTGTCCCTTTGTGCTGTTCAGCAGGGTGGTTTCCCTCTCGCCTGCAGAAGAGGGCTGAGGGGACTGTCAAACATCTGGAGCTGATGGTTATAGCAGGTCCAGATGTTTACTTGTACCACAAAGAGGACACGGAGCGGTATATTCTTGCCAACCTGAACATTGTGAGTAGATTTCTGTTTGGATTGCTGTCCCAGTGTGAGAGCTCACAGGGTCATGGACTGTGTCACAAGCAGGCAGACCTCTTTGAGTGCACTTTCAGAGGTATTGGTGGTTATGTGCTCTTAGTACAGAGCACTGCTCAGGTGCAGGGAGTTCCTCTCTGCTCCCCTTGGCACTGCATGGCAAACTTTCCCTTGTACAAGGAGCTGCATGAGTAAAAGTGAACGTTAGAAGCATCGGGGTTGTAGCCTTGAAACCCACATAGAAAACGTAGTTCTTGATTTCATTACTAATGTTGTTGTAAGTCAGATAAAATAGCAACTTTTATCACCAGAGCCTTGATCCAGTCCCTGATGCTTTCACTGAAATTGAACCAGGTCCACTGAATTAATCTTGCATTTCACATTTCAGCATTTTATTTCTATTACAGAATTTCTCTAAATGTCTTAATCATTTATGCATTTTCTTTGTGTGTATTGCAAAAAAGTCTTTAGCATTCACTCTCTTACCCTATGAAACTCTTTTCCATGGAGATTCTTCTCTCTGCTTCAGAGTATCTGACAACAATTCCCATCTGTTAACAGATTTATTTACATTTATAGTGCATATTTGAATGTTGTGAATACTTCCTGGTGATTTTATAGTTGCCCCTTATAGTTACCAGGTGTGTTACCTTTGTAGTGAATGCAGCCTGTCATTGGGAACAGGTAGTGGGAGTCATCGAGTTGCCCCCTTTATTGAATCCTTTCTATCTCTTATCAGGGGGCAGAGCTGCTGAGAGATGCCTCACTGGGAGCTCATTTCAGGGTTCATCTCATGCAAATGCTTGTTTTGAGAGAGCCAGAGGTAAGTGGGGAGGACTCTGCTCAGGTGGTTGCTAAAAGCTGCACTTAATGAAATTGCAAACATGTGCCTTCACTCTAGGCAGAGGTAAACATCACAACAAATATCACCTCCTCGCTGATCAGCGTTTGTGAGTGGAGCAAGAAGGTCAACCCCCAGAATGACTCTGACCCCCAGCATGCTGACCTTGTCCTCTATGTCACGAGGTAGCAAAGCTCCCCTGCCCTGGGAGGGGACTGGAAACAGGGCTGGTAACATCCAGCCCTTAGCAAGTGACAGCGATTTGCACCGGCTCTTCCAGCAGCTGGGCATCACAGAACCTTTGGAAATATCCTGTTTGGGATTGATTCTCCCACCCTTAGTGTAATACAGTTAGTCAGAGATGCTGTTTCTTCAGTTTCTGAAGGAACTGGAATATCCCCCATGAGCTGACCAGCCAGACTTGAGCAGCAGAGCCAAACCCACTGCAGCTTTTTGCGTGCAGAAAAGTCAAAAAGTGACTGGAAGTTTTTCCATAGGAGATTCCTAGTGCTACCCTGATTCGGACATTTTGTCTGACTTTCAGGCACCTTGCTCTAAATTGCCTCAGCTAAATTTGTTGAAGGCAAACTTCTCTTGAGTGTAATGTCTTTGTTTTGATGCTCTTTCTTCAAAGAGATGATGACACTGCTCTGTCATCATTAGGTCATTTCAGTCTGTTCTGCTTGTCAGGGATGTCAGGATTTTTTTAATGTAGAATCACCACAGATGTGAACAGTGTGCACTTGTAGGACCACCTGGCACATGCTTCCAGCTTGCCACAGGGAGCTCCATGCATCAAAAGAAATGTTAGCTGGCTGGCAAAGTTAGATCAGGAAAGTCCAAATAAATTCAGCTGAGTGTCGAGACCTGACTTCAGTAGCTGCAGCGGTTCTTTGCTCTTTCCTCTGTATCTGTCTTCCTTTAGGTTTGACTTGGAGTTACCTGATGGGAACAAGGAGCTGCGTGGAGTGACTCAGTTAGGTGGAGTCTGCTCCTCCTCCTGGAGTTGTGTTATTACCCAGGACACTGGCTTTGACCTTGGAGTCACTATAGCCCATGAGATTGGGCACAGGTCAGTAGGAAAGCCCCAGAGCAGCACAGTATGTTTTATTCAGATAAAAACGTTCCCCAATTTAAGGAATTCTGAAGAAGGAAGAAGATCTCTTGGTGTTACAAGGGACTTCCCATAGAGTATTCAAAACTTTTGGAAAGAATTCCTTGGATATCTTGCATTCCTGCATGCTCTGTGACAATTGAAAGCTGCAGAGAAAAAACCTTTGTGATGACAGAAGAAGGAAAGGCTGCAGAGGGGTCTCAGTCCTTGCTTAGAGAAGAAAGGCTCTAAGGGAGCTCAGCCCTTGCGCTTCTTCTCAGGGCACTGTGCTGCTTCTGTTGCAGTCTTGGAATCCCCCACGATGGTGAGGGGAATCGGTGCAGCAGCAGCGGTTACATCATGGGTTCAGCAGGAAACCACAACAGCATCGACCTCGCCTGGTCTCAGTGCAGTCGAGAAGAGCTCCTGGCCCTTGTCAGGTGAGGGAATGGTGGAGTTCTGCGTGCCTGTGTGGGAGCGATTCCTTGTGCTGGGATCTTAGGAGAGAGCAGGGAGAGTTAAGGGACAAAATAAAACTCTTGGAAAATGAAGAACATTGAAAAGCTGGGGGGTTGTTTATTTCTTAGCACTTGTGTCTGTCACTGAGGTTAAACCTGGTTTCTGCTTCAAGTAGATGGAAATGACTTTGGTTAGTCACTAACATTCCTGGGCTGTGTTGGACTCTCAGACACTAGCTCAGCCTGGAAGTTTTATTTCAAATGTGAGAGCATCTAGGTTGAAAGAAGCACTGTGGGGTGTGGGCTGCGAGCTGGCTGCGTGAAGGGTAGGAATGGGTTTCTGTTAAAACTTCAGCAGCAGGGAACTGTGAGCATCTCCAGGCAGCTGCTGCAACTAAATCCATCTCAGCCCACAGGAAGCATGTGTTGTCTGGCAAAGCAACAGCCAACTCCCAGAATGAAGCTCAGCACAAGTTTGCAAACATGTCATTGTCCTTACTGCCCACAGCTGGGAAAATGACATTTCTTATATTTCTATCAGTACAGGCCAAACAGACTGCTTAAATGACCTGCCGGACATGGACGGCAGCATTCCTGGATGGAAGCCTGGTTTGTACTATGGAGCGGATGAGCAATGTAAAATAGCCTTTGGGACTGTTGCCACAGCATGCACCTTTGCTGACAGCAATGTTGTAGGTAGAAAGTTTGTCTGTCTTGCTAGGGGCACCAGGGAAATGATCTGGAGCCAAGATCTGGGAAAAGGGGAGCTGGGGACATTTTTGTTATAAAGGATGGAAGGTGCTTTCCTGCCACAGATATCTTGGCTAAGAATGAACCTTCAAAGGCTTTTAAAATGCTTCTCTTCATCACCTTCTTTGTCCACAAAAGTCTCCTTTAAAGTTTGCACAGTACCCAGAGCCTTTTGTCCAAAAACGGGCCTGGTGGTGCTGGTGATCAGTGCACCTACCCAGGGCCCTGTCTTGGGGAGCTCATGTGCATTGGATTTCTTCAGCTTCCTTCCTTTGCCCAAGTCTCCATGTCTGGGAGATGCAGCATGGCCATAGCTGCCATCTGGGCATGTCTTGTTAATCAGGAAACACTAAGGTGGGTGAAACTTCAATTGCTTCAACATTGCAGCTGGCAGTGATGGTCTTATGCCCACAACTTTCGCCCAATAGCAGGAGAAATGAGGGAACTTGCTTGCATTGCTGGGTAGCTGTGGGGAAAGCAAACATCCAGGACATGCAGAACTTAAATGGAGCAACTTTTGGGACTGTTGTGTTGATATCTTCCCGAACTTGCTGATTTTCTTGTCACATCAGGACATATGTGAAGTTCTCTCATGCCATGTACAACCAGCAGACAAATCCAGCTGTACTCGGCTTCTTGTGCCTCTCTTGGATGGTACGGAGTGTGGAATCAATAAGGTAAAGAGGCTGTTGATCAGCAGTGGCTGTGATGCTATGGAGCTCACCAGACAGCAAGATGTTGGTGGCTGGAAGGTGCATGGCACTCACTGCCCTTTGGGCAGGGAGCTAAGGCCAGACATGCCAGTCATAAACTGGTACCGGCTGATCATGGTGTTTCCACCTGGTAGCTCTGGAGTTGTTTTACAGTTCTATAGCTTGGTAACTGAATTGTTCTCCAAGGCTTTGCTTTCTACTTGAAATGACCTCTCAGCTCTTTGTTTTAGCCCCAGTCTCATGTTAGACCATAGTTAGGAATGGGATTCTTCTAGCCTCTTGTGAGAAGGTGCCTCTTTCATTTTGGGATTCTCTTTTAGTCTGGCCTGCCAGATGTGCCACCCTTGAGATCCCAGCCCTGCTGGGTTCGCTATGGTGCTGCTGACAGTTTTGTTTATTCTTGGTCTTAGTGGTGCTCCAAGGGACAGTGCAGCTCTCTGGAAGAACTGAACCCTGCAGCTGTAGTCCATGGGCAGTGGTCTGGCTGGAGCCCCTTCTCCTCCTGCTCCCGCAGTTGTGGAGGTGGAGTTGTGATAAGGCAACGGTTCTGTAACAACCCCAGGTCAGAGATGGGGAGTTTGCAGTGCCTTTTGGCTAATTCAGGACCCTGGGGTCTGAGACTTGTTTTTGCTTGGGACAAACCTGCCTCTGTTGAGGAGTTCTTCTATTATTTCCAGGCCTGCTTTTGGAGGGCAGGAATGCCCTGGTGCCAGCATGCAAGTGGAGATGTGCAATACTCAGGTAATGGAGCTCATCACATCTTCCAAGTGTTTTTCTTAATTCCATTTAACAGTTTGAGAGGTGCATGGTTTGGGACTGCTTCTCACAGCTGACTGCTCTGGGAAGAGGACTAAAGGTCTGTCATACAGCCTCCATCCGTCTGACAACAGGAGAGGTATTTGTTCCACTGTGTCTGAAGATAGTATTATTGTTCGTGTGTAATGAAACATTTCCTCTGTACCCTCATAGCAGGACAGGCACTGAGAAAATAGTGACGCACATGGCAGTTTTCTTCAGCGGGACATTCTTACATTGTTCCTGTCTTTCTTATCTTTTCTATTTATGAAAAATAAATAGATGCCAGCTGTGTACAATTTTCTGTGTATCCCACACCTCCCTTTAAAGCGGTTTTCTTTATTTGCAGTTGTTCTGGTGTTTTACTTACACTTCTTTCCACCTTTAGTGAGTGGGTAAAATGCTGCTTGGGATTCTGTGCTCAGTAACTTTCTCCTGACCTGTACCATTCTGTCTGGGATGTAGGCCTGTTTGATGACCCAGCAAGACTTTATGGCTGAACAGTGCGCGGCAACAAATTCAGAGCCACTGTATCTCGCTGTAGGAGCACCATCCTTTTATACCTGGACTTCTGCTGTTGGCTTTGCCAAAGGTAAGGAAAGACAGAAAAAACTTGGCGCCTTTGTGAAGCAGAGTGCTCGTGAACCTGTGTGTACTTTGAAGTCAGAAGGCCATTTCACTGATTTAGTTTTCATATGAAAACTGGGTACTCTTCCTGTCAGATGGTTTTGTCTTCCTCCCATTGCTTGATGGTCAGCCACGTGCCTTTCTGAACGAGAAACTCCTTCTGTCTGCCTCCTCCAGGGGACATGTTATGCAAACAGATGTGCAGGGCTGTTGAAAACGAATTCATGGTAAGCCGTGGAGACAGTTTCATAGATGGAACCAGATGTGAGCAGGATGACTCCAAGGACCACTGGGCTTTCAATCTGTGCGTAATGGGAAGCTGCAGAGTAAGTGCCTGGGGAATCCAGGTGAACCTCTGGCATGTAATCTGCACCAAAGGAGGCAGTTTACTAGGAGAATGGGAAAAAACTGTCCCCCAAACAACAAAGAGTTTTGTTCTAAGCTTACTGGATGGACTCCAGCAAATCATAATGGTTAGGGTTGGAAATCTACTGCTCTGTCTATGCATCCAATGCCAATGACCTCTAGATAAGACATTCTTCTAATTATGCAGTAACTACATAAGGCTGTTCATCTCTAAGCCAAGAGGCAATTGGTTTATGCACTGGTTGGGGAGACAAAATTAGCTGTTCAGTTTGTGTGGTATAAATACCCTTATAAAATGTTGACTCTGTTGGAGGGAAGTTCCATGATTTGAACATACTATGTCAGAGCCAAAGTGAGGAGTAAAACCTGGGAATCGCAAGTTGACAAGGTGATTGTTGCAGTATCCCTAATCAAAACTGAAGTAAAACTTCTTTCTGGATTTGCTGTGAGGAAGGGCATTTTTTCATGATAAACTTGAATGTAACTCCCCTGTGCTGGCTGCAGTTTAGTAACTGCTCAGTGCTGACCCAATTACATGTTGTTTGGCCTTTGTTTACATTCCCAGAGCACACTTTTAAACTCCTAGGTTTTTCTCATGATCCTGGTGCTCCCAATGTTTTGCTATGCATTTCCACCTAGTGAACAGCAGAGGGTGTAGTCATTGCCTAGTCTGATTTCTGCTGTTCTATTTGTAATGGTGATAAATGCGTATGTTATGGCAGCATCCAAAGCCTGGGATCAGTGCCTCTAGCATAAATTCAGCAGCTGCACATATTTTGCTGCTAAGCCTGCTGAGATCTTCCTGTAGCTTTGTGTAAATCAGGCTTGTTCGTTGAAACGGGGATAGAATCTCTTTTCTGAGCTCCATAGGATTGAAGGCCAGGCTGAAGGATGTGAGCTAGATTTGGATTTGGGTTTTGGGGAGCTAAAGAAGAGAGAGGGAGTGCAGAGTCTTTGTTCTAGGTCACAGGAGAAATCTTTCTGAGCTGCTTCTTACGGGAAAGAAAATGTCACACAATTATGAGACTCAATATGCTGTCAGCTGAGACTTTCCAGTCATTGGCTTTGTGTACTGCTGTCCAGTGATAGATCTAGGTACAAATGCATCTTTGTCTATGTTGTCATCTTAAATTCGAATTACAAATGAAAAAGGCAGTTAGGCAGTTTCAGGAGTTCAGGCAACATTGCTTTAATTCACTTGTTTCCTTCTCAGAATAGGCAAGTCTTGACAGACTGTCCTCTTTGCTCAGGCATTCGGGTGTGACGGCCAGATGGACTCTGGAAAGACAATGGACTCTTGCAAGGTCTGTGGGGGTGATAATACCACTTGCACCAAAGTGAGTGGATCTTACACAGAAGGAAAAGCTAAAGGTGTGTAGTCCTCACCCTCAGGCTCAGCATTATGGTGCTGTTTATATGCTGCATATTTGCATCCATATTCAGTGTTCATAATCTTTGTGACTTCTTGTTCCTGCTTCTGCTTGGTGTTGTTTTGTGGAGTACATGGCGGTGGAGTTTGGGTAGTCAACAGAGAAGGCAGCTAAGATCTGTAGCTGGGAGCTGTTGTGTAGGCAGAGTGACTTTTTCTGGACATGGATCAGAATTGTAGCCATTTGGGGAGTCCAGCATATTACTGGGAGCTGGGGGCTGTGTCAGATGCTTCCTGAGATGTTAAACGTTCATTTGGTAACTGATCTGGCTCTTGCAATGTGACATATAGATACCAGCCGAGAACATAGAGCAAAATAAAGATGAGGACAGGACACAGAATTTGCTGGATTTGCCATCACTGTGAATTTAGCTATAAAACCCCTGTCTGCAATTCAGCTTTGTTGCTGCCTGTAAGGCTTGTTCTCCAATGGATAATGTGCCAGTAAGGTGAAAAGGGGTTGATCTGTAATCCCCAACCTTCTTAACAGAGGTACAGTCATGGAAGGTGACTGTATCTTCTTTCTTTCCATCCTTCCAGAGTATGTTACATTTCTGTCTCTGCCGTATAATACCACCTTGGTCCATGTTACCAATCGCAGACCCCTCTTCACACATTTGGGTGAGTTGAATGAAAAAGAAAAGAGGATCTGCAGGCAGGACTAAAACAAGCTTGAAAACCAAGAAAATTGAATCTGGGAGGAAAGTTCTTGATGATGCAGTTTGTTTGTGGGATGTTCTCCAGTGGGAAATGGTAAAAGCCCTGCTCTTTGGGATGCCCCACTTGGATCCAACTGGTTTCTAACAAATGGGCAGTCTGTAGCTGCCAGCACATGGGGATCCTGGTGATCATATCTCTTAACTTCACTGCTGCTTTTGCTGTTCTAGCTGTGAAGGTTAAAGGAGAGTATGTGGTTGCTGGAAAAGGCAAAATCTCACTGAATGTCACCTATCCATCAGTTTTGGAGGATAACCAGATCAAATACAAAGTTTTTCTCACTAAGGACAACCTGCCAAGTCTGGAGGAAGTCCATGTGGATGGGCCAACGAAGGTAGATATCGAGATACAGGTAAGTTAAAATTGCAGTGTTGTAAAGAGGTCAGTCAGAACTGAGTGGGTTTTGTAGTTCTGCTGCAGTGTAGAATCCAGATTTAGTAGGTTCCAGGTGTCTAAGGCCGATGGAGATACTGTTCACTAGGAGTGAACAGCTCTTGGGAAAAGTTGAGGGTTGTCTGCCTACTGGCTTTCTGCAGGTCTTGGGGGATGGAGGTGTGAGGAAAAGCACACTGAGTTAAACATCTTGCTTGGTCTAGTCTGTGCCCTGTGCACAGAAATCACAGGGTGAGGCTCTGACTGCATCCGACAAGAATTGAGAGTCATAGCATGGAAGCTTAGGCTTGGATGGAAAAAAGGGGGACTAGCTTCTGTTATCTCCATCTGAAGAAATGAGTCTGAGTTGATTTGTGCATTGACCATGACCTTTTTCTTCACCAGGTCTATCGAAGGTATGGAAAGGAATATGGCAATGCCACCAACCCAGACATTACCTTCAGCTACTTTGTCCCAAGAGAGAATCTGATGTATATATGGATTCCTCAGCAGGGTCCATGTTCAGTAACCTGTGGGGAAGGTGAGGCAGCAGTACTCTATTTTGTGTGGAGATGTGGGCAGGCTGCTTGTTGGGTGCCTACCAGCAAGCCAAGACTTTTACTCCATGGGCTTTCCTGGGCTCTGAAAGAAATGTGTCATTAGCAATAGATACTTGGTTAGAACTTACTAAACAACTGAACTGAATTTAAAAGCAAATTGTTGAAAGTGGGCTGTGGTTGCCAGTGTTAAACTGGACCAAAGAAAAGAGTGAGGCAGCTTTTGAATTGAATTAGCAAATCAGCAAGTGAGCTGAATCATCAAAATGATAGGGCAAATGTTTGATCAGGATGAGGATTTTTAAATAGGTTTTAACCAAACTTTTTGTTTAGAGCTGAAATAATTTTCTCAGGTTTTTCAAAGCTGTTGAAGACTGTAGTTTGAAGTTGGCTGAACATCAAAAGCCTGAGACTAAAGTGGCATCTAGTGTCTACCTAAAACCTCAGAGCTAATTATGAAACTTCCTTCTTAGAATTATGTTCCTGTGCCATGGCTAATCCTTTCTGTCCCCCTGAAGAAATCGTAATGCAGATTGTAGCAGATCACTCTGGTAGATGGTCTGACATCTTGTTTATTGGCTAATACATGTGATACTGGCAAGCCCCTAAGGATTTTATGATAAGGATTAAGAAAATACAGTAATGAATACTTCTGGAAGTCAACCTATAGGACTAGTTATATCTGGAGAGGTTTTCTCCAGCACATTTCCCAGTTGAACTGATTGCTGAAACCTTGAAGTAAAGAACTCAAAATGCTTTAGGACCCCCAAGCTAATGCAGTCACAAACCAAAAAATGAGAAGGCTGGGACTTAACACGAAGTTGAGAATTCAAGCTGAAATTGCATCCTGGGAGCTGAAAGAGACATTACTTGAAAATGAGGGTAGTGAAAATATAACACTGCTGATTGATTTTTGGCATTGCATGTTAGGGTCATGCTTTCTGAGGCTCAGGAATGCCTGTCTCTGGGTGGTTAGCTCATTCACTGTAAAGGAGACTCTTTCCAGCTCTGCTTGTAATTTGAATTTAGATTTTCACTTGCTTTACCTGTTGGCTTCAATTTTGTTAGAAATCTTGTCTATACCTGTAGTTTATGAATATTGTTTCTTGCATGCGACAGGCACTGCAAGTCGGCAGCTTTTCTTGCAGTACTTCTAGTCTAGGTTTGGCTATTGATTACTGAGGACATTGGCACAGCTCTGATGATACGACATGATTAGTTCTACAGAATGTCATTTACAGATGGCTGACTGCTAGAGCTTATTGTCAGCAAGCTGCCCCTCATCAGTCAGACATCAAGATCATTGGAAGTTATTTGGACAAAATTAGGATTGATATTCTTGTTCTTGCAAATGGCCAGTTGAGAGCAACATTTGCGTTTTGGTGGTGGATTATCCATCAAACTTCTCATCTTTTGGGTGTTCATTTTGGAAAGTCTAGAGAAAAAGTTCTGTCAGAAAGCAAGGGTTTGTGTGTTTATGGAAAGTGTATTCCCAAATACACCATTTTCGTACAGATGATTTGAGTAAAGTGAAAGTACTGCATCTCCCTAGCATAAGGAGGTAAACTGTTCAATTTGTTTATAACTTCCTTTTCTTTTCCTTTTGTGTCCAAGGGATGCAACCTGTGGATCATGTGTGCTTTGACCAGGCAAAGAATGAAATCACAGAGGAGCAATGGTGTCTGGAGCTCCTGCGGCCACTTCCAGAGCACAAGCCCTGTGTCATGGAGCCATGCCTGTACAGGTTGGTGTCTTGGAAGCTCAGCTAAATTCTTCCTTAGCTTGTCCTTTCAGTGCCCACTAACCCAGTCCCTGCAGTGTCATTTGCATTGGGCAAGGTGTTTAAATAAAAAAAAAAAAAGAGAAGTATGAAGTAATTTCTTCCCGGTTATAATGGTGTAGCAGATCCCAACCACTTTCTGTCTTTCCTGGTCCCATGAGGTAATGGAGATGTCAGCTGAATCAATGGGAGATTGTCCTTCCAATATTTTACAGTAGTCTGCTAATGAAAATGCTTTGATGTCTGCTCACATCCTTTCCAAGTTCATGCCAACAAAGATTTGATCTTACCCTGCAGGTGACTTTTGTGTTCTTTAGACTGGAAAGAGGACTGAGAGCCGCACCTGCCCAGACACTAATCTCATACATTCTAGTTTTTAACAAAAAGTGATTACACTGTGAACTCCAGCTCTTCAGCTTTTAGGTGATTTTAGTCCTAGAGAGCTGTTAGTGCAAGGATTTAAATTTCCAGCAGCTGTCTTCTCAGTCACATCTGGGCAAGGCTGTTGAAATAGAGAAGCTCAATACTCTGTATGGGTCACTTCTGTAATCAGCAGTGAGAGTAATAAACCTTCATGATCAGAAGAGAAATCAGGTGATACAATTACTTCCCATTTAGGTGGAAGATGTCTCAGATAGGTGAATGCTCTGCTGCCTGTGGAACTGGAGCTGCCCAGCAGAATCTGACCTGTGTTCAGTTTCGTGGTGGATTGGAGACTGTTGTGGATGACAGCTTGTGCCCAGCAGAAGAAAAACCCCTCTCCATTGTGCCGTGTGTGGTTAATGTCTGCCCTTTAGGCTGGGACAAAGTGAGTTTACTGGCTTGGCTTATTTCAGGAGTCTCACTGGTAGCTTTGCACTTCTGATCCGCAGGAGACTACCAGTTAAGAGCCACCACCTTACTGCTGGAGTCTGGGAGGGTGGTTTACACCAAGGTTGGTCTGCCTAGTTAAAGGTTCATCCTGTCACTCTAGACAAATCTGTCCCTCTTAATTTATGCTCCTGAACTCATCAGTTCATACTGGTGGTTTGTTTAAGTCAGCTGTTCCTTTTTCATTTTTCTTCTCAGAGTCCAGCAAAACCAGAAACAGAAATAACCCCTGGTCAACTAGGAAATACCTCATTGGCAAACAGGTTCTGACATGGCAGGGAGGATTGCTGGCAGGGAAGAGGGCTTCTCACCACAGGATCACTGGTCCACATCCATACTGGGGAGCCACTGACAGGTTTACATTTACAGATGGGGAAGATACTGCTTTAGGCATCTCCAGTCTCAGGTGTCTCTCTTCAGGTAGTGTGAGTTAGGAGGGGTCGTGGCTGTTGGATGTCCTTAGCTATTGCTGATCCGTATATGTTCTGCAGAAATTGAGAAAGTGCTTAAATGTTCCTCTTTCTTCAGTGATAGGAAATATGTTGTAGGCTTGATCTGGAGGTATCTTCCAGCTTCTTTAGATCAGGACTGGTGTGGAAAGCAGATGCCAGTGTCAGTCTGGGTCCTTTTTGCTTTGTTTTGAGGAGGAAGATGCACACGTACTTCAGACTTTGGAGTCACTTGGGCATATCCAACTGGAAAATCAGACTGTGTATGTCTGGAGCCCTCTAGCTGGAGAGTGTTCCGTTTCCTGTGGTAGAGGTGAGATCTTTCAGTGCTGCGGGGAAATGTTAGTCACCTGTAGTCATGAGCTCAGTGCCTAGGAACCTCAGGGACATTGTCTTTGCTCCTCTACAGTTTTAAGAGCATGTGTAGCTTACAGTTTGATTTATTTTTTTTTTTTTTAGTCTGTAAGAGGCAAGGGGGCCTGGCTCAAACAGGGAATAGTTTAAGGGGGCTGGCTGGCTGCTGCTGCGCTTCAGAGTTGGGGGAGATGAGTGCAGTAAGTGTGCCTGGAGCTTGGGCAGAGTGTGTTTGTTTTGTACACACAGATGCAACCCTTGCATGCATGCCATGCAGTAAGATCACTTCCCATTCTAGGTAAGACTTGGCTACAGTATGTATGTGTAGCTTTTGACACCAAAGAAGAAACCAGAGAAGAAAACTGTCATCCAGTACCAAAGCCGGAAAGCAGGATGGAAGTCTGTGATCTTAGTCCCTGCCCACCCAGGTAAAACAGTTACCAGGGGACAACAGACCAGTGAGAGGACATTCCTTCCTCTCTCTATCTCCAGATACACAGTAAAGGAAGGGTTAAACTACTCTGAGGATGTTATCTTCCTCTCCCACTGGTTTGAAAGCACAGCTAGCTGCAGAAACAGTAACACTGAACCAAACTCAGCAACTGATAGTCTTTTGTGGGCTAGTACATTCTTAGGCAGAACCAAGTGAAGTCTTTGGAGTTTGAGTCTGGGTTAAAACTGAAAACCTCTTGATCCCTTATTACCCTAGGGAAGTAGGAACTAATCCGTAACTGCAAAAGGTGGTGGTGTGACACATTTGCCAGCTGTACAGTTTCCACATAGCATCAAGGAAAATAGCTAGGATTAGATGTTTGAAGAATCTGGAATAGCTGCTCTGAGAGCTGAAGGAAATTGTTTGCACTTTCCTCAGGATGTATGGTACTGCAAACTGCAGTCAGTGGGGTGACTGCTGGTCTCTCAGACATGAGCCAGTGTGTATGTGTGTGTTAGCAGAGTTCCAGTTGTACTTCCATGAGCTAGTTGGATTTTAAAACCAGTGAAGATGGGTGGCAGGTGGAGGTATCACTGATGGCTGCGTTATTCCCAGATGGCGTTACAAAATGGGCTCATGCTGTGTAAGATCTGATGCACTAAGTCCCCTACCATGCAAGAGAGACTGGGGAGAAGGCAGAAGAGATTTTAGTAGACACCCAGGGTGATGGTTTCCATCACCCAGAAGAACAGGAACCCTGTAATTTGGAGCTGTGTCCTCCAAAGTCAAAATGGCCACATGAGCCACAAGGGCATGAAATGGAGAGAAGTGGTTGTCTCTGAATATGTACGTTGTGATCTAGGCTATGACTCAGGGTTGATAAATGAGGCAGAGCTTGCTCAGCCCCTCTGCTGTGGAACTGGAAAGCCACTGGCATCTGAGCTTATTTTTATAAATACAGGCTGCCACTCCCAGAGTGAAATACCCTGGGTTGGTTTCTGATCTGACTGCTCAGTGGTGTGTGTTTTGGACAGATATAAGATTGTTTTTGCAGTTAAGCCTGTGTATGTCACCCTGGGGAAGACTGTAAGGGACAGAGAATAAGACTCGATGTGTACTTTGAGTCCATGGGCTTCTTGCAAAATGTGAGTGCCCTCCATCTGGGTCCAGCTCCAAACCTGCTCTGGGTTGCCCAGCCATGTTTCAGAGGCTGCATTTGTAGACGGTGAAGTGTCTGGGATGGAGGGATAAAGAAAGCTGCTGAGGGGCAAAAGAGGGAAGGAGGAGGGAGTTGCAGTGCATTTTCTACAGCAAGAGAGAGTAGAGGATGGGGAATTCATCACTAACTCACCCTCCTCCATGTCCTCTGTCAGATGGAAGGTAACCCCAGCTGGGCCCTGTTCCTCCAGCTGTGGGCTTGGCTTAGCTGTTCAGCTGGTCACCTGTGTGCAGATTCACCAGGGCAAGGAGGTTTTGCTGGAGGAGCGTTTGTGTCCTGTGACAGAGAAGCCTCTTGCCAGCGTCCCCTGTGTCATCCGAATGTGCTCGTATGAATGGAGCTTCAGTGAGTGGTCAGAGGTATGGGCTCCTGTTCAGTTTGCCTCCCTAAAGCGTGCAGGGGACAAATACCACTTCTGCCTTTTATACTTACTTCCCCAACAAATGCTAAACTGTTTCTAGGGATGTTTTCCATCCTTTCCACTGCCCCGTGTTTAGCAGTTGTAGGGTCTGCTTCCCACCTTTCTCAGATAAGGTTTTGGTTGCAGTTTGAAAACAGTCCTTGTTTTTTTTTCTTCTGGAATGCAGGTATTTTCAGACTTTTTAGGAAGTGGTTCTGCAATTCAAAGATCTAGTTTGGAAAATCCCCTGGGAGGTGGACCATCTTATAGCTGATGAAACTAGAGCACTGAAAGAGCAAGAGACAAAACAGCATCAGTGATCAGCTTCCTCCCCACTCCTCCCCAGTCGTGCCTGAGCCAATAAATGCATTTATATATAAATACCAACTGAAACACATTTATAAAGGCCTGTGGGCTTCTTCCTTTGCAGTGTTCAACTTCATGTGGGAATGGCATTCAGACACGGCAGGATTTCTGCCTCAACCTGCTAACCCGTAAGCATGTGAAGCCCATCTTCTGCAGGCACTTCCCCAAGGCCATTGTGGTACGTGGCTGTTCCACAGGGCCCTGTCCTGAGCCAGTGGTGGAGACTGGGTCCCATGGAGCACAACTACAGACAGTGACACCAGCCACACATCTGACCACAGCTGTGTCTGCCAAGGAAGCAAGATACAAGGACCGGGACCTTCTTCCATCTGCTGTGCCACGGGAACAAACTAAGACCCATGAAGGTGAGGAGGTAGAGATAGGTGCTTGCTGCGTGCAGCTGGGTTGTGGTGACCCTACTGCTGTACAGGGACAGGAGAGCAGGAGGGAGTTCTACTTAGAAGGAGCAACATGCTGCTCCTTCCAGCATGCCATATGTCTGTGTTATCTGAGCTAGGAGCAATGACTTCCTCCCATGGTCTTCCCAAAACTCTTCTGACATGGGACTCCTTGGGGCAGCAGCTGACTCTTCCTGTGCTTTACCCAGAATGTGTGCACTTGTCTGTTCATTGCAGCTTGAAGGGAATGATGGCTCTTTTTCAGCAGCTGTAGTTTCTTCTGGTTGTGTTTCTCATCTGTTTCTCTGTATAGGTGTCTGTGGGAAGCTCTTTCTTAATACCAGCGGGATCATCAACATGACGGGTGTAGCGAGCAGTGACTGCACTGTGGCCATTGGACGTCCTCTCAGGGAGGAGATAACAGTACACGTCTTGGAGAGCTCCCTCAACTGCAGTGCAGGTACTGCCTGGGCGTGCTGGGGACTAGCCTGGTCCTTTGGGAAACCTGCACCTCTTCTGCTCATGTGCTTTTGCTGCCTTGGAGCCTGTATAATCTCTGAAACCATTTTACAAGTTTTTCTGTCCAATCAAGTCATTGGCAAATGGGACTAAGTGGAGATGTTGCCTGTCCTCCCCATATGTACTAGTTTCTTGTCTGTCGTCTTGATGAAAGGAGTTTATGGGGTTAAAGAAGCTACTTGCTTTTGGCCTGTTACAAACTCTCTGCAATATACCCTCTTGCTGGAATCAGTACAGTTAATTAGTTACCTGGACTGTTTTAATGACAAGCATTGATAAGACAGGGACAAGATACAGAAAGTCCTTGGTTCCAGACCTATATAAGGCAGGTTGTGACCTTTTGCTTAAAGGAAAAGCATTTCTAGTCCCTGTGCTCATCCATTTCAGGTGAGGTAGTGCTGTTCTCTGGGCGAATGATGTGGCGGACCGGCTGCAGGAAGCTTACTTTCTCACTGATAAATTCCAGAACGAATACACTGATCGTGAAACAGCGTGTTTTGCTGCCTGGAAATGGGGTCATTCTTCAGTACAACAGCAGAACTGCAACTAAAAAATATTATCAAGGTACTTACTGAAAGCTTTGCTATTGCTAAGGCACCCACAGCAAAGCCCATAGAATTCCACAGATCATGGTTGCCTATGGAAATCTGTGGAACCCATGCTTCATTTTTAGCAGCCAATAAGCCCCTTCTTAAGGAGTGTTGGAATTAATATTACTTGTGGACTACCCCTCTGTTTTAAAAGCAGGCTCCCTGCAGGTGTTCACTGGTGCTTTGAGGTTCCCAGATTAAAATCCATAGAGAAACTTAGAATCATAGAATTATAGAATCGTTAGGGTTGGAAAGGACCTTAAGATCATCTAGTTCCAACCCCCCTGCTGTGGGCAGGGACACCTTACGCTAAATCATATCACCCAAGGCCTTGTCCTGTCTCTGCCTGTGTTTAATTTAAATTATTTCTTTCTTGGAGATGCTGGTCACTCCTCTAATTTTATTCTCTGCTCCCTTTCCCTCTCTTAGACTGTGATAAGCAACTGTTTGGTCCCCATGGTGAAATAGTAAATCCTGTGCAATTGCCCGATCAAAGGCAAGAAGTTGTGTGTCGGACCTTCATCAATATGGCTCCTCGGCATCGCATAGCTATCCGTGCCCTATACATTGACCTGGGCAATGAGAGCAACCAAACACATTTTAATTACATCTTGGTGAGTCAGAAACCTAAAGGGGATGATGTGATGGGAATGGATCCATGTCCTCAATAGAGATTTCCATCCAGATGCGAAGTTCAATCATAAATCCTGAAGTGTCAGTCTAATCTCATACACAAACATAGACATGAATGAGTATTACTGATGTCTACAATATTTCTTCTAACCTTTGTTTGGGGCAGCTTTTCCTCCTGAGTGACCAATTTGCAAGCCCTCCAGTATTTTTTTGGTACTTCACGGGTAGGCTGCTGCTATAGTGGTTTGGTCTTCATTTATGCAGGTCCGTGATGTTAGCACCATGAAGACGATGGTGTTCCATGGGAGACAACAGTTCTTCTGGCAATCAACAGGAAGCCAAGCTGAAATTGAATTCCATGAAAATGTTAAGGATCATCAAATCAATTTCTGGGCTGAATATTATGCTATTGAGCCAAAATAAAAGGATCTGGGGCCACTGCACTGAGAAAGGCCATGGTCCAGTTAATCACTGCTGCCTGTCCACTGTTTGAGGTCACATGAATCTTTTGATCTTTTCGCAACTGCTTCCCCATTTATTAAGAACAATAATACCTTCTGACTCCTTTGGGATCTCAGTTAATAATTATAAAGATTGTGCAAAGGACATGTAACTACCAAATATTTAGCAACCAGTCCTCATATGGATTTTCTGTCCATATTTGTTGGTATTAATGCAGTTTACATGTCTGCAGTCAGTGACTTGGACACTGAAGTCTTGGGTTTCTGCTTCTGTAACATGCCGTGACCTTTTAGGATAGTAATTTAATTTCGTGGTGGCTTAGTGTCCCATTGCAAACCTCTATACAAGTAGTTGTGATTATGGTTTAGTCTTTAAGTTCACTCTTCTGCAATTTAAATGCCCTTTAAAACTGAGACCTCTTGAAATTCTGGAATGTTATAAAGGCAGAGATGTGTGTGAGGATGAACTGCTAGCACAAGAAGACTAGAGCCATGTGAGGGCAAGAGAGTTTCTTTGCCCAGGAGGGGGGAGCACAGCACTACGACAGGTCACTCGGAAAGCTGAAATGTTTTCAGGAGTTGGCAAGACCTGGTCAGATGCTGCTGACCTGGTCAGGCCCTGCTGATAGTTGGCTTTATATGGGAGGACTAAATGACAATCAGAGGTCCCTCCCTAGCCACCCACCACTTCTGTGGTTCTACTACTATATATCTGATAGTGATACCAGTACTTTTCAATGGGAAAATAAAAGAGTTGTGTCTCTTAATGATGGGTTTGGTGCCAAAACATTACTCGGGTAAGGACGGTAGCTGTGCTACTGTATACTATACATATAGTATATAGTATATGTATAGTTTATCTATACTATATATACTATAATCTGCTTGTATCTTCATCTCAGAGGAGCTGTGCAATGAGAGGCAGTTGAGACTGTGTGATACAAGTTATAGCAGGAAGAAGTATTTTAGAGTAGTGGCAAATACTCATTTGATTTAAATACATTTTTAGGTTGAACTTATTTAATGTTCTTGAACAGTGGACCATGCTTTGGTCCAGATCTCTCACCCTCCTCAAAACCACAGTATACAGCTTAAGGGGTGTTTTCTGCAGCTCAGGCCTGATGGACACATCTGCCCTTGTTCTTTGTGCTGGATGCAGTTCTAACCCTGCTTCTGCCTGCTTTCAGTTGAATTCTCTGACATCTTTTTACAACTGCAAAACCTTTCTTCTATCTTGTTAATAGTTGTGTGTTTGCTGGTTACGCCTGCAGTTTTTTGCTTGCCAGCCTCCGGATTTTACATTCTGTTCCTGGAACAGCTAGAAAGTAGATTCTTGAAGTGAGATCCTTGAGGAGCTGGATATATCAGCTATCCCGCTGCCGTGCGTGGGTGATGCAGGCACTGGGCCTTCATTTCCTGCCTAACAGGAGATGTTAATGAAAAGACATCCTTTTCTTAATCCTTTTTTGTAACCTTTTAGCAGATGGGATCTGTCTTCCATCTCTGTTCAGGATCCCAAGTCTCATTGCTATTTATTGTTCCAGATCAGCTCTGCAGAATCCCTGCTCTGCAGAGGTGGGCTCTGGTTACTGGCTGTATGTCCAACATTCATTTGCAAAAAATGCAGCTGTTTTTATAATTTAAGAGAATTCAGGCTGTTTTCCTGTACTGTGTGTTTGGATACCAACATGTTGCCTACTGGGACATCTCTTGCTTACAAAGTACTACTCCCATTTTCTAGGGAGAAAGTCTGATTCCATTCAGATTAAGGGGAGCGTTAACCTCTTGTCTTCAGGGCAGAATGTTTCCCTTCCTCCTGAGCATGTGCTGCCCGCCTGGATAACAGCATCCGGGCGGTACCCAGGAGAAGTGGGGCCCAGGCCCTGCCGTGGGTCCGTGGCGGCGGCTGAGCAGGAACACAGCCGGCTCTGCCCACCGGCATTTATAATGAAGTGACATCAGGGCCCTGCCTGCGGAGGGGGGGACCCACAATGCAACACGCAGCAGACGTGGAGGCAGCTCCCCGGCCGCTGGCATCGCTGCTGCAGGCAGAGACCCTCCATTGTCAGCCCTGGGGGGAGGCAGCGGGGCCAGGCCCTGCATGGGGGTGTGGGGAGAGGCTCAGCGGTGGCGGGGCTGGCGCTAGGGGCCCGGGGGGGCTGTCACGGGGGGTGTCCTGCGCTGCGGGGGCTCGGGGAGGGCTGCCCTGACCCGCCGGGAGCAGGGGTGCGATGAGCGCTCAGGATGAGCAGTTCCAGGCAGCGGCCCCTGCGCCAGGGGCTCCCCGCGCCGATGACGGCATGACCTGGTGGTACAGGTGGCTCTGCAGGATGGCCGGGGTCGCCGGGGGCTTGTGTAAGTATCCCCGGCCCCGTGCGGCCCAGTGCAAGGGTCACGCTTGCGCCATGCGGCGGCCTTCTGGGGTCACGGGTTTGTGTCTGCTCCAGAGGGGACTCTGCTGTGTGGGGCAGAACAAAGAGCCCTGGGGTGGGCTTCTCTGGCACCCAGGGATGTGCTGCGTGCGTGCCGAGCCTGGCCCCGGCAGAAGGGGCGTCCCGGGGGTCCTGAGAACCCGCGGGTTTCTGTCTGGGCACGGCCCTCGGCGGGAGCAGCAGCTGAGCCCTGGCGCTCTGGGCAGATAAAGCTGACCAGGCACAGCAGGGGCAGGGCTTGGAGAGGGGCCATTGAATTCAGTTCATCCCATGTGGTTGTTGGGTGTTTGTATGTTCTTGCGACTTTCTTTCCTGTCCTGAATGTCGGAGCATGTTTCCTGCTACTCCTGCTGTAGATTGCTGATGGCCTGCCTGTGTTTGCTTTTTTGAAGGTGAATAATGGACTTGGTTTGTGTTGTGTGTTTTTAAGGGGTTTAATGTTGGACACAGAGAAGAAGGGAGACAGCAGACAGTGAAGTGAGTTGGCTGTGCTTGGAATTACCTGCTGAAAAAAACTTTCCCAGGGAAAGAATCTTTGCAACTTTGCCAGAGATCAGCCTGTCCTGTAGTGCTGTTTGCTGCGTTCTGTGGAGAGATTAATGGCTCTTAAAAGCAGGAGGGACTGTTATGACCACTTAGTCTGATCTCCTGCAGAGCACAGGATGGAGAATTTCTTCTGCTTCAGGTCTACAACTTCAAGAATGTTTCCCAGCCAGCACAGTCAGCCCTGATTTATTCCCTTGGCCGTGGAGTTTTGCCTGATCCCCCTTTTTCCCTGCCTCTGCCTCTTGCCTCAGGACTTGCCTGCACAAGTCCCAGACATTTTTGCAGTGGACCCCGTAGCCTGTGGTGGTGTTGGGCAGCCTTGTTCCAGCCCCTGCGCGAGGCTGGGGAAGCACACGCTGCTCTCGCTGTTTCATGTCTGAGGTGCTGAAATCCCGGAGGTGTGAAAGGATTTGGTAGGGCTGCTCTTGCGAGGCGGAACGCGCCGGCCCTGCCATGCCCTGCCTGGGGCCCGCACTCCCGGCCCCGGCTGGCGGCCAAGGGCCCAGCTGGGACATGTCTGGAGTGCAGGGCCCAGGGCGGGTTTAGTGCAAAGGCGTTTTCCCACGGCCTGGGGCTGCAGCCGCGGCCTCGGCGCTCTCCGGGTGTCTCTGGCCCATGCAGAGCTCAGGACGCGTGCGGATGGAGGATGCTGTTGGGTCGTGTTGGTGGCGTTGCCCGCTTGGTGCTAGAGCAGCACACAAGTGCCTTACAAGTGTAAGTCTTTGAAGACTTTTTTCTTGGTCTGCATGTTTCAAAGCAGCTGAATTATTCTTAGATTATTTTCCCAACCTTTTGTTCACGTCTCTGAGAACTCATGACTTGCTTTTAAAGGGAAGCTAAGAGCTTTGCGTGGTTAGGTGTCCTGGGTTCAGCTTTAGCAAGACATTGGTAGAGTCAAAGAAGAGCCAGGCTCTCTACAGGATTACTGATGATCTGGGCAGACAGACAGTTTGCACTTTAGCCCTGACAGTCTCCCTTCATGAGGTTTGTCAGGCACAGAACGAGGCAGCAGCATTTCCTCTTACAAGCAGGTAAATGGGGAGCTTTGGAAAGCAGCAACCCTCCAACCCCCTCTGCTAGTAATGGCTCTTTGCAAAACGCTCCTTGTTCAGCCTCACCTCGTTGAAGGTGGACAGTTTGGAAAAAGGGCGACTAATAAAACAGCAAGGCTGGAGTTTGCTGCTGTTTTTCAGAGCTTGCTATGAAAGAACAGAATCCATTTAGAAGGATTTTGAGCAACTGGATCATGGTCCTGCTCCAGGGCTGGATTATTTATGACAGAAGGAAAAATTCCCTGTAGAAAGGAAGAGAAACTTTGTTAGCACAGTTGAGGCTGGGAGATGTCTACCACATGCAAACACCTGCAGCACACAACTTGCTGAAGCCAGAAGGGTCCAAGGGCCAGAGCAGGAGCAAGACAAGGTTCAGGATCTGTTCTTGGCTCTTGCGCAGGCTGGCTTGGAGACCTTGGCCAAGTCCCTTGTGTTCCTGTTTGTAATAGGACAAGGAGAGTCTGTGGCTTTTGTGAAATGCTCTAGGAGCAAAAATAGGATTGTGATGAGGACAGTGACCAGCTGCTTGAAATGAATAGAGCCTTTGTGTGTGTGGGGGTAGCGTTCTTCTTTCTCCATTTTCGCTCCCAGTTATCTGTGCTTCCTCAGGGATTTGAGATGGGTCAGCAGTTGAACAAATGGCAGAACTGTCTGCCTCCTGTAGCTTACGTGCCATTGAGTGTTATCTGGATTTTAAATCAATGTGAGGCTTTGTCTCTGTCTTGGCAGCTCCATCCCCTTTTGGCTACTGAGGCAGGAGCCAACCCTGTCCTGGTAGGACAAGGATGTGCGAGGCTGCTGCAGGACTCGCTGCTCTGCAGAAAAGCCCTAAGGTCACCAAACTGTTACCAGTGGCTGTTGGCCACTGTTTAAAAATACCTTTGTTTGGTTGCTTCCTAAAACCAGGAGATCACTTACCTGTGGGGTGACCTTAGATCACTCCTGTCACAGCCCTGCGGTTCTGTTTTCCAGTCTGATAAATAAGGAACTTATTTATGTTAAGGGAACTTTGAGGATTCAGCAGTGACTGCTGAAAAGAAACCTTGCAAACTTGTGCCAGGCTTTTGAGGGACAGGACTGCCCATAGCAGCTCTGTCCACAGCAGCTCTGCTCAGGGATCCCCTTAGCAAAACAGGAACAGCCATCTGAAATACCCAAACCCAGGCTGGTCTCATTCCTTAGATGGCCTCTGCTGTTCTTCATTGTGTTGCTGATGGTCTGCAAGCAGCATTTAAGGGTTTTGGAATGTAGCTGGGGTTGTGCAAGGTGGTCACTGTGGCCCCAGTCATGTGCTGCTGCCTCCTGCCCAGGCTGGGTTCCCAGTGAGCAGCAGGACCTGCTGTTGTCAGAGCAGGGAACAGGCATATCGGGTGCTGGGGATGCTCTGCAAGTTTCATGAGGCAGGAAGGAACAAGCAGCCTTGGCACAGGCCCTGCTGCCTCATTCCTCAACTTGCATGACAGAGCCAGGAGTGTGGGGGATACTTTGGGCTCTGCTTTATCCGCTCCCATTTATATTAGTGGACACAAACTTGGCTCTTTTCTGCCCATCTCTAGCACAGCACTGGCAGCGTGTGGCAGAGGCTGGGTTCACCTCTGCTTTATTTACTGTCTTTGTGCCTTGGTGCTGCAAGTCATGTTTTTGCTGAACTTCCCCTGTGCTGCTTGGAGATGGGTGCTTGCTGGGACCTCTTTGTTCTTCCCAGGACAAAGCAGTAATTCCTCAGCAAATAAAA